AAAAAAAAAAAAAAAAAAGTAAGAATAATAAATGTGTACACTAATAAATACACTGCAAAAATACATGTTGCCTAACTTTAACTGTGTAACTGTAGTAAATACAGTAGCACCGAGCTTAACTTCCTGGGATCAAATTTAAATATTAACTTACATTTTCGAGGACGGTGAATTCCTCTATTAATTTGTCAAGATTAATTCCATTTCTCAGGGCCATGTAGAACAGAAGTTTAGAATCAAAAGCGAAAAACGTCTTAAACTGATGGAGCAAGAGCGAAGTAAGCTAAATCGTGTCCAAGTAACAAGTAGCTAGCTGCGCAACAATGAAAACTAAACGCTACAACCACTGCCCGTGACTGTCGATGCTTATTGATACGCTCTGAAGCGTCATTTGCGTTTTTGAGTTGAAACCATATGCTGCCTCCACCATTACATCATTTAAAAATTGAACTGACACTATAAAGTCTTTGAAAATGAGATGTATTTTATTAAAAAGAATGTGCTGTACAAACTAAAACATTGAAACGGTAAGTAGCTCAGGTGCTCACAACCTGTACTTCCGTCGAAGTTGACGTGTGTAAAACAATTTATTATTCATTTCCTCATTGTGTACACTCCAGTTAAAACAATAATTAAAAATAATAATAACTGTCATGTTCTGCTCTGCCTTGTTTTTGTTTTGCTTTCAGCACCAGCTGGGGTGTTGGGCGTGACCCTTGAGCAATGCACCTGTGTCTTGTCAAACAATCAAGCTGCAGCGTATTTAAGGACTGACTTCGGCCTCCCTTTGTCAGATTCTTGACCTTGATTGTTGTTTATGTACAAGTGCCATTTTCTAGACCTCTTGCTCATAGTTGCTTTTGTTTCGATTGCTTTTTGTGTTGTAAATATCCTTTTGTTCAAGTTGTTTTGGACTCGTGTTATGCTTGTGTGTTTGCACTTTTGTCATTTTGTTTTGTGGATTTTCCTTTGTCAAATTGTTCTTGCCGGTTGCAAACGTTGTTTGTTCTTGATTGGTTCCTGGCTGTTTGTCCCCAGCGATTTGTGTCTGTACTTTGTTGATCTCTCTCTTTTCTCTGACTAAATATTTTTGTATCGCTATTGATCAGAGTCTGCATTTTTGGGATCCGCTTTCCAATCGGTCTTTGTTCAGACTTGACTGACTACTGCATATTTGTGTCGCATGAATTCCACGGCACAAGAACCAGACAATGTGCACATGCAGTGAATACTCGAGAAGCTCAGAAATCACGATGACAGTCCATCTGTCACAGAGCATTTTTATTATAGTTGTATAAAAACATGGCAACACATTGCGAGATCGTTGTGGAATCTAAGTCACAATGAATAGTATATTTACATGAAAGTTCACCCTGAATATGGAATACAAACACCTGTATACATTCTGTAGAAAATGCTTTCGGCATATACGGTTTAGATGAAGGACAACATGCATTTAAAATTCTGTGAAAAATGGCGTTTGCAAAAGGAGCATCGTAAAGCAGCAACACATGCTTCTGGCTTATACACAATCATGAATAAATGTTATATAAATGTCAATTCAGTAGTTAAATTGTTCAACGCAAACACTCATCAAGCGTATTAGCTAGCATGTTACCTTCAACAGGCTTGCACAAACTGACGTGATATGGCGCACGGTCAAATTTATGTGCACCGACAGATTTCAGCTCTGGATTATGATACGGATTCCCTTTTGTTTATGAAGTAAACACATCTGCCACTAGGGGCAGTGTCGCCCAGAGGTTGTGGAGATGAGAGCAGGACGGGCATCCCTCTCTATTTTTGGTGAACTGACATTCAACACTGACACATACTACTCCCAGTCATAAATCATCAAGACTTTTTTTAGGAGTTTGTCCTGACCGCTGACAGAATCATTTTAACTTTAGAAACGTCTTTGCACGTTCATGGTGTAATACTTCCCAAAAGGTCAGGGGTCAGGTAGCCATCTGGTGTTGTTATGGCCTTTGAGGCTGTCTGCTGCGAGGCAGGTATTGAATTTGATGTTCGTATGAGGCTGTTTTGCCCCTCGACACCCTCTGATGACGAACTCAAGTCTTCACCCGTTGAACATAAGTCATTAAAATTGCACGCAGGCAAAGATGGGCTCATTTTTCCTGCATTGAGCTCTGAGGTGTAGGTTACATGGGGCTCCGGATTGTTCTTGTCCTCCTTTTTCCCTGCTGTTTGGATTTCTTTGGCATCTGTGACTGCGTTGTTCTGCATCTCATCCTCGGGGGACAGCAGCACCTTGCCAGATGGCTTAATCTCGCTTACCTGCGTGTACAATGCCTCTCTGGCAGGGACTTCCAAAGGAGGCTCACCTGCTGTGGCGTTTGGGCTTGGGCAGCCCGGTCGAGAAGCAGTAACCGGCTCCTTATTGCGGATTTGGTTTGTGACTAGGGAATGCAAGTGTGATGTTTCTGCATCGCTGGCTAGATCAGGATCACAGCAGCTCGCGCGGCCTGAGTCATCATCCGTGAAGCCCATGGAAAGATGTGAGCAGTTGGAGAACAAAGATCGATTCATGAGAAAATCAGTGTCCAGGTTCGTTAGTCTGTCGCTCTGCTCCTCAAAGTCCAGATCGATGAATTCCACCCAGGCGTCGTTGGTGTACAGCTCTGGCCTCAGATCAGGGGGGGAGCCCAGAATGGATGTCAACTCCTTTAGCTTCCCTTTCTGTGGGATTATAGAAATACAACTTTAATACAGAAGTTGACAACTTTTGTTTGATAAATCATCAAGTAGAGCACAGGTGTCGAAGTCCGGTCCTCGAGGGCCGGTGTCCTGCATGTTTTCCATCCCTCCCTGCTGCAACACACCTGATTCAAATGATCAGGATCACTATCAGGCTCCGATAGAGCTTGCTGATGAGCTGTTCATTTGGATCAGGTGTGTTGCAGCAGGGAGGGATGGAAAACATGCAGGACACCGGCCCTCGAGGACCGGACTTCGACACCTGTGAAGTAGAGCAAAATATAATGATCAGTGTAGGAGGTGGCATGTGACTTTTGTAATGCCCTATGGTAATATATTACTTTGTTCCCGTCTAAACGTAGTATAACGAGTCACTCCTTATATTTTTGTAATACTATTACAGTTACTAGGACCAGTAACACGTCACAATATCTGCACAAGAGTAAATTGGACACACACAAAAAATATATATATTTTTTAGGTGCTACTTGGTCATGTTATTAATTGATACTGATCATTGATTTTTTTTTCATTGCCAAGCATGTTTGCAAGCAAAAAAAAAAAAAGAAAAAAAGGCAGAATCAAGTATAAAAGCATTTGTGGATACCTTGAGTAGTTCAGGGTCAATTCCTCTTATTTTAGGTCCAGGAACAGGTGGTAGAAGAATGACCAACAATCTTTAGAAAGGGAAGGTGAAAATGTCAAACGCAAAAAAAAAAGGTAACAAACGTATCTGAGCTGGCACACAGTTAGTTTAGTGCTGAATGTGTGTGTGTGTTTTTTTTAAAGTTCTCTATGTACTTGCACTCTAAGGTCAATGTGTTACTTTGATTGAAGTGGCACAAACTGTAAATCATTTACTGTATATACTTGTTGGAATAGCTGCACAGCTACAGTATACACGTGACCTACTTTTCCTGCTGCGATATGATGGCCAACATCAGGATGGCTACCAAACACAAGGTGCCAAAGATGAGTAAAGTCAACAAAGGAAATCTTGATGCTGGAAAAGTCAAGACACACGGTATCAGATATTATAATTGCTCAAAAGAAAAGCGGGGGGGGGAGAAAAAAAACCTGCATGTGTTTAGTGTAGTTCTTTGTGTGGTTATGGCTGTGTGGAATGCGTGTGTGTGGGTGTGCACGGGTGTTCGAGAGGTTGTTTACTTGTATCGTAGATCTTCTGTCAAAAAAAAATGTGGCCACCCCTGCTGTATCGTGTCCCGTTATACTTTTGTGTTTGTCGAGTGTTCTCATGAATTGTCCCCCTGCAATTTTCTGGTGAAGTTCATCCCTACTTACCATGTGTGTTATTGACTTTCCAGTGGATCTGCTGTAAACCTTAAGAACAAACATGTTTGTTTTGTTTTTTTTTTTTTTACCTTCAGATGAAACATGGACAAATATCGAGTCGCTGAAGCCACCAAACTTCTTGTCGCCGTGCTTTTTGCAGCGGACCCGAACTTCATAATGGACATCACTTTGAAGCCCGTACAGGGAACAATGTGTGCTTTTTACAAGCTCGGCCTGTCGTCAACAACAGAGTCACATTTCAGAAAACACATTTTGGATTCGTATTTCAAAAAGTGGGGATCATTCATGAGTCGGGAAACAAAATAACCAACAACATGTCTCAATGGGGAACGAAACAGTCCGGGTATATAAAGTGCATAACACGCACCGTATCCCAGTGTTCAGAATCTACTTTGCGGTGTTGGACCTCATACTGCAACGTCATCCATCCCATCTCCACGTCCGCAGATGGAGGTGGCTTCCAACTGAGCATGATGTCATAGAAGTTACCGGTCAAACTCACGTTCAGCATTGTCCAGTTCACGCCGAGAGGCGGATCGGGTTGCACTGGAAGCAGAGTTTGGTTTTCATTCTTCCCGCATGATATCTTTGTCTTGCATGAAACTCACCAATGTCCTGAACATTGAAGTGCTCCTCGTCATAGAGGATGCTTTGATCTCTTGAGCGCAGCTGAACGCTGTAATCTATCCAGACCGATGTGTGGTTTTCACTGAAGAAACACTCGTTTGACCTCTCCGTGGAGTAATGCGGACACTCGTTCCACTCTTTCGGAGATGCCTGCAGGGGTCTGCAAGAATATATGGGGATCATTTGGACGGTATCATAAGAGGTGTCTGGAAGTAACAATTCAAGCGGGGCAACAATAAGCGTGTCAACCAATTGTTGGGTGTTGCATCCCGTGCAAAATTTGCCCTAAAATGCAAAGGCAGAGTGTTCATTTATTTATTTATTTTTAATATATTTGATACATACAGTTACATACACGAGGTTGAACCGCTCCTGAATGACCAATCATCCTAAACAAAAAACAACAACAATTCTGTCCCCTACAGCAGGGGTCCCCAACCGCCGGTCCGCGGACCGGTACCGGTCCGCAGGGCATTTGGTACCGGGCCGCACAGAAAGAACTTGCCTTATTTCTGTTTTATTTATTTCGGAACACGAAAGATGTTTTATTTTGAAAAATTACCGGATTCTCTTTTACATCCGTCTGTGTCACGCTTGACTCACGTCAAGTCACACTTCTCGGTCACGTGACCGATGACGCTCAAAAACAAAGTGCTGAAGCCCGCAAAATGAGTAAAAAAGCTGCTTGGAGATTGCAAATGACGGCGGCCTTAAAAGTCCGTTCGAAACAACTGGATCAAAGTTATGGCTGAATACTCTGAGATCGCCACAATAGCACTGTTGCTATTTCCGACATCCTACCTGTGTGAGTCGGGGGGGTTTCTGCAGCAACGGCGACGAAAACAAAATTACGAAGTAGACTGGAATATAAACCACACACTTGAGGTGTCATTGTCTCCTATTACTCCGAGATGGGACTGTCTGATTGCAGAAAATCAAGCTCGGGGCTGTGGTGAGTCGTCATTTTCATGCACTTTGAATTTGCGTTGTATCGTATTTTGAAGGCATTAAACATTACCAGAGCGATAAGAGTGTTGCGACCAGATTAGACGCTACTTGTGTTTATTATTATATTTCGAAAACACCACAGTTTTCATGCAGCTCATACCATATTATTTTGTTGTATTAATTCGCCACACCTTAAATGCCGGTCCCTGAAAATATTGTCTGACTTTAACCGGTCCGTGGGGCAAAAAAGGTTGGGGACCCCTGCCCTACAGAGTCCCAGCCATGACGGAAAACAAACTACTTGGTATGGCCGAACGGTGTTTTGCCTATCGGCACTTTGTAAGTCCAGACAGAACTTTTCCGCTTACGTTTTGGTTATGTAGAATAAGCGCACATCTTGTGGCTTGGAGATGTTCTGCAAGGTCCCAACATCCCATCTGCAGTGGAAGGTCTCCATATTGGTGGACACGCAGCCGGTGAGATGTGGATACTTCACGGGTATTTCTAGGAAAGCATCGAAGGAACGAGAGAGAAAAGTAATAGAACATGACAATTCTAAATTCTTTTTTTTTTAATCGCTTTTACCATAGAGGGAAGCTCAGTTGTACTTTAATGGAGCCACTGGGCTCTCGCTTAGCCGCAGTGCAAACATTTGCATCTTCCAGGAAGTCACTTTACTGCTCTTCAGCGCAAGCTGCCACAATACTGCCATGTCACTTAGCCAAGCAGCTATTTTCTGTCAACACCAGGGCGCTTTTGGGGGGAGTTGTGGGGGGGGGGTGTCTAATTCTTTCATTCAAGATTCTGGCAACAGTTAATTTAGTTCGTGCACACTGAAACAACCATCGAACATTTGGCAGGGAATATTAGGTGCCGTTAATTTGCCCTGCGCTCAAGTTAATCAGTTACTAGACTGCAGCACACTGATCAGAGGTAAACTTCGGTCAAATTCGACACTGTGGAAATGTTAGATGCTGCTCTGTCCTTGCTCTAAATCATGACATCATCATGTTTTTTTCACCTCAAGACTCAGGGCTGAGCTACTTTGAAAAAAGAATGTTATTGCAAGTTTATTGTGATGTAATAGGCAATTTGTTTTCCAATGTGCACATGCCATGCGTTTTTTTTTTCTTTTTAAGAAACAAGCGCTAAATTGATCTGTACAAAAAACAATGTCGGGTTTATTATACATAAACGGTCTGGTCTTAGACAGTACGTTAGGCTTAAACCTAATAATGGCAAATCATTGAATATGAAAGACAATTGACTACTACGACTTCAGTTCGGGTTGTTAACTTACTGAACGCTTTGGCTTGTAGTCTTGAGCTTTTTACTACGATAACTTCCCAAAATTTGACCAAATGAGTGCGCCACAAACATAAGTCGGTATGTCATGAATCAGATGACAAAAATAATGCAAACAAATCTGTTGCTTGATCTGAGCAAACCACAGCAAACCACAGTCGAATGGGGCTAATTATATTTTCCGGCAAACGTCCACGTGTGGAAAGCAGCCGAGAGACACTCAATCCGTATTTACCATATAGATTTTTTTCTGCCATATAGATTTCGTCTGTCCAACAGACGCCCTTTATTGTATATGAAAATGGCACTGCATGACCTTTTTGGTTTTCTTTCTGTTTATTTTTGCTTAACGTCATGCATTATAACCTACAGATGTCTATAATGAGCGTTCCATCGACTCGGAAGCTATCCTTTGCTGTAAACAGACCGAGTTACATAACAAGAAGCAGCACAGGAAGTTGGGACGTGGATGGTCAACAGGGACGTGAATTTATTGTCTGTCTGTGGATAAAACAAGATCCATGAACACAAAGCTGTTTTCTTCCTCAGCAGGGTTGAGTGGTCGTAAATCAGGGGCTTCGCACTTGAAACAAGCAACTCGCCATTGTTCGAGCTTCTCAAAATTCCTGGGAAGCCAATTCCCTAGAAATCTGCAGGCTGCTCTCCATGTGGAAGGCGTTTTGTGGTTTTGCAACACATCTTACCACCAACCCGCGATTCTCCAACGGGCTATATTCTATTTTCCTGCTATTTCAGTTGCCTTTTAACCTATGAAAAACCAAATTAACACCGCAGCGGTGTTGAAATCAGGTTGATATAACGACACGGACAACATCTGGGTGGTCAAGGGCGGGTTTCAAATCCAAAACGCGGTATAGTAATACTGTACTTATTCATGATGCACGTACTTTACTTTGAGTTGCTCAACATGCTAAAACCCTTCAATGGGCGTATCTCCATCTAATCAGCCAACAACAATAGTGAGCAAATAAATCCTGATCTTTTTCAACATACCTTTGCGAGAAGCAGATTCCAACACTGAGGCGGTGACGCAGTGAAGACAAAGAAAGAAAACAGCAGCCATTATGTTGATCTGTGAAGGCAAACATATGGCAAGTGCGCTCAGTACAGCCCGCAGAGCCGAATCAACACAGCACAGGCACGTCTGTACCCTGCGTCATAAGGCTCTCCCTCCTCATTCCATTTCAAGAGTAAGAGAACAAGGATACGCGCCGCACGCCAATAAAATAGCTTACAAAAAATGTCGCTCCCCTGGATCCGATGGAAATGAACTGTCACGTTGTTTTTGAGCACCAAAATAATGTCAACTGACGGATACTTGAAGCCTTGCAAGTCACAAAACTATAAATGGAAAAACAATCAGCCAGCCGTCCATTATCCAAACAGATTCTGCAATAAATGTTGTATATTAGATTAACTTGAAACTGTTTTGTTTTGTTTTTTGTTTTTGCTTTTCACATGACTAAAGATGTTGTTACTCATGAAGCAAACAGTGAAATGCATAAACCAATTTCCCACATTGGGACTCGGATTAAGTCGACCGCATAATATTGGGCAGACTAAACAGCCTCTGCCGCAGATGCCACAACACAAATGCAGTTTTACAGTATAAAGACACTTCATATGAAATCATCCCGACAATTTATTGTATTATATTTTGAACAGCTGGAATCACTTCTAACAGGGCCACAACAACTTGGCTCATGATGGCCCAACACTTGGCGACCGCTCCAAAAGACTTCATGTCATGTCCTTGCGTGACTCCCGAATTCCAAAGCGCCCCCTCCAAGTGTAGTATTGACATATGAATTGTATTGCACAACATAATACACGACTCAACATTGTAAAGCACTTTAAAAACAACCACGGCCGCATACAAAGTGTAGTACATCGAGGAAAAATGACAAAAACAAAGACGGGTGAAACAAGAAATTAGTATGAGGAAAACGATAAACATCAGAAATATACTCAACAATGCCAAGTCTCATTCCGAGTCAAAGGCCGAAGAATTTTTTTAAAGACAGAAGACAGAAAAATGAACAGAGGAGGGGGATTTGGCTCACGTTCGCGGGAGGTCATAACAAAGAGAGGAAACATGCATACATAATTGCAGGAAAAGGATGCAGATTACCATTCAGTTAGAATATGGAGAATTACACACACACACACACACACACACACACACACACACACACACACACACACACACATTGCTGGGTTGTCAACCAAATTTGCAAGAAAAAGAAATGCTACAACACAGTCACAACCGTTTTTTTGTTTTGTTTTGTTTTTGTACCCTGTGTACAACCTCTTCTTGTGATCAAGGATATGAAGAACATTCTGTTTACATCCCCTGCGTTTCGTTCTCAATGCCAAATGAATGTTCCCCTTTGATGTGCTGTCGAGGATCGCGCAACAACATTCCCAGAGAAAAATCCAAACCGAGGAGTTGTGACTCGCCTTTCTATACCGTACTACCAAGCCCATACGCGTGACGACTATTACGGAACACGAGCAAGTTAAACTCGGGAGTAAACATGCAGAAATACGCAGGAGAGACACGAGAGCAGACTTCAACTCGCTCACCGCTGAGAAGTGGAAAACAAGCGTTTCACAGCCGCGCGTTCCCATCGGATTCCGTCGATTCAAATACAAGACTTGTAATAACACCGGCGAATTACAACCGGGAGGTCCAACTACGCTACGTTGTGTAGAAAGAGTGACGATTTAATCAATCGGCCAGTCTGGGGAGTGAGTACAGTCAAGCTCCGTGGCTGTGCAAATATAAAGTTGAAGTTGTGCACGCCATCTGTTGGCGAAATATGGGAAGCGCATAAAATATGAGCTTTCCAGGAACCGCTCGTGATACGACGCGTATGAAATCGACTGATCCGCCGTTTTAGGAATTCTTAAGAGTCCTCCTCCAACATCCGTTCAGCAATTCTACCTTTGAAAAGGATTGCACAACCCACCCTTTAGAACTTAAATGTGTTTGATTCATTCCTTCATGAATGGGGAGGAAGTTCCATTGACACATGGGCGAGCTCACAATCACTTACTTCAATGCTAGTCCATAAAAAATTGGGAACCGCGCGAATTCACAAAATAAAGAAGGAATTAAAAGGTCCAAGTATCCATGTACTGCCGACATTTTCACAAAATAGCCATCGTGCTCACCACAGAGTAGGGATGCCATCAGACGTAAGCGTGACCTCTGACCTCACAATGTTTTGCTCTTGACAAACATCCAAAAGTCACACGGCGGTTTGTACAAAGTTCTCACAGAAGAGTGAGAGGTAATATCTGTCAAGAGGAGGAGGGGAATAAAATCCGTATTTTGTTTGTTTTTTTGTGACTTTCTGCCCATCCCTTGAATTATGTTCACACATACTATTAATGACGGTAACACAGTTTGACCGGTCATCATAATCTGCCATTTCTATTCCATAAAATGTTAGTTGAGGCAACGCAAGACTTTTTTGGGGTGCATAAAATAGTTTTTCGTTGCCTATATTGCTTTATGTCGAATAAATGCATACTTGATAATATAATCCAGGCACGTCCTAACTGTGTGAGCTTTAGGGCTGTTGGCAACCCCAAAAAGTTGTCAAGATCCTCAACTATTTGCCTTAACACCTTGAACAGAAATCTGCTGAAATGAACTAAACGATACAAACGACACATTGCGGTAATTGCTTTCTTGACTGACTTTAGTGTGTCTCAAAAAGTTGACAAATTTAAAAATGGCCCTTTCATCCCTCCATTTTGCTGTTTAGTGGGCCTCAAGCGAAAAAATGTGGCCACCCACCCCCGATATCGTGAAACGGTTTAGCAAATAGGATGTGTTGACCTTTGTCCTGTTCCAGCACACTCAGCTGCTGATGCCCCTGTTCGGAATAAACAACGATTACGCAACAGTCCTTATAATGGAGCACTCTGACAGAGTAAAATGCAACATTTGCTTTTAGTCAGGATTCAAATGTATGAACAGTATTCAAGTGGAAATTATCTTAATTTATTGTTGAACAGATACCATATGTTAAAATGATTTGGAATTTGAACCGAGAACTCTGGCTCACAGTGTGTATGTAGTCAGGTATATGAAATGCGCTTGTTCCAATTTGATAGACGAGACTTTCGCCAGAGGGGGGGAATTCCAAAAGATGGACCTCTGTTGAGTAATCTCTCATTGCTGGTGATATGCCACTGCGGGTTACGCCGCCGGACAGAACAAGCATCGAAGGAAGGCAGCATGAAGGTAAAGCCCGAAAATGTTGAAGATCCTCTTCATGGTTGGATATTTACCGTACAGTGTGGATCAGATTCTGTTTCTCCAGTCTGATCGTGTCCTTTTTGATTTGCCATGTTTAAAATGCCTCAATGAATTTTACCCACGACATATTTTTTTTCATGACTTTTCATAGAATTCAAATTCGTGAAGTCATGTTTGTTCTTGTTTTATGTGAACAGTTGGAGTTGGCTGGAGCACTGCCTTCTTTGGCTTTGCTGCTCGCATTTCTTTTCCCTGTTCAGTAAGTAACAAGTAACCTCACACACTGGCTGAACAGTCTGGGGGGGGGGGGGTTTAAAATCTATGCCCTTTTATGACTGTTTTTTTTGTAAATGATTTTTATTTTCATCAGCTGTTTTCTCACCAGTAACGTGAGAATGTAGCATCAGATTCTGTTTCTCCAGTCTGATCGTGTCCTTTTTGATTTGCCATGTTTAAAATGCCTCAATGAATTTTACCCACGACATATTTTTTTTCATGACTTTTCATAGAATTCAAATTCGTGAAGTCATGTTTGTTCTTGTTTTATGTGAACAGTTGGAGTTGGCTGGAGCACTGCCTTCTTTGGCTTTGCTGCTCGCATTTCTTTTCCCTGTTCAGTAAGTAACAAGTAACCTCACACACTGGCTGAACAGTCTGGGGGGGGGGGTGTTTAAATCTATGACCGTTTATGACTGCTTTGTTTGTCAATGATATTTATGTTCATCAGCTGCTTTCTCACCAGTAACGTGAGAATGTAGCACTTGATAAATTCCAGTTATGCAGAGAAAGTATGTGAGATTCCATTTGATTTTAACTTGTTCTAGCTGCCAGCAGCCAATAAACTGCAGGTGGGGGTCTTTTGGAGATTGGTCTGAGTGTGACGGCTGCACCAAAACAAAGGTAACTTTCGCTCGTGGTGTGCAACCTTCATTACAATCTTAACAAAATGTTCAGATTTGCGGCAAGTGTACACATAAATTTTTTTTAAATCACATTCTAATTGACACCCATTATACCCATGAGGTGCGCACTCGAACTGTGGAGGCGTATGCCCAATTTGGTGGTGCGCCATGCTCGGGAGAACACGCCGAATCGCATGCTTGCATGCCACAAAAGGGGTGCCCCTTAGAATCGGGTTGTGGCCGAAGATTCCGATGCACATCTGGTGAGCTAAAAAGCAGAAGCCACCAAAAGCATTTTTCCTTTTTGAATCAAAATAGAATGCGGGAAATTTTGACATTCTTTCAATTGTTGTCTCAAATGTCATCAACAAAGGTCACTGCATTAGCCAGTCTCTGGTGTGCAATGGAGATCAGGACTGTGAAGACGGTCTGGATGAGAGAGGCTGCCAGGCAGATGGCAGTCAGTTTGTATGCGAGCTTGACAAAACACCGCCCAACTCTGAGTTGACTGGCAGAGGGTGAGTCTCTCAAAATCAAACCACACATTCGTCTTCAGCATCGTTCTTTCGTACTGAATATCAATATTTACACAAACAGACACTATTTAGTTCCATACTTTAGATATGACACTGATGTTTGTAAATGTGCTGGCCTTGTTGTTCCTATTACCAGGTACGACGTGCTTACAGGGAAGCTGAGGGCAGGTGTGATCAATACGCTGAGTTTCGGAGGGCAGTGCAGAAAGGTGTTCAGTGGTGACCATAAAATTTATTATCGACTCCCACAGAACATCCTCAGGTATAATTTTGAGGTGAGCAAAAGAAAACACATACTGGCAAAGTACCTTCTGCCAATACGTGCCAGCAATGTGGAAAAAAAAAGAGCAGGAAACATTTACAAGGTTCCAGAAGAGAATCGGACTCTACAAACATTGACTCAGATATACACAAATATTTATTTTACAGAAGAGTGGCGCAAATAATGATGTCGGTAGGCACACTCGGATAAAAACGAGAGAAACCCAAAGCGCAAGCTTGAGTCAAGAGAACAACGAACGAATCAAAATAGCTTGTCAACAAAAGGGAAAGATGATCTAATCACTGGTGTCATCAAAGCAAAATAATTACATTGAATAATTTAGTCGGAACAACAGTGCATGTGCGGAAGAGGAAGGTTATGTTGGACAACAGCATTTCAGATGTTTTCATTTGAAGCAGCGCGTTACGTTATGTTTTGTTTGTCCAGGTGAAAGTGGACAACGAGGAGAGCGATGAGTCCTATGAAAGCTCCTGGTCCTACATGCAAGACATCCAGGTCAACTCTTTAACGGGACATGACCGTCGCACCTTTCACAAAGAGCTCACGGAAACAAAGGTAGCAACGAAGATAACATATATCCAAAAGGATTTAGCCTGCGTGTACATTCAATTCTGATTCTCTCTCCACATCAAAAAGAATCACAGGCTCCTCATTCTGAAGAACAAAGTGGAGTTGGCCCAGTTCCAAAATTCAGCCCCTCAGTATCTGACCCTGGCCGAAGAATTCTGGAAGGCCTTAATCTCGCTTCCGTTCACGTACAACTACGCTGCCTACCGACGACTTTTGCAGACGTACGGCACGCACTATCTCGCCGAAGGCTCTCTTGGAGGCGAATACCAAGGCTTGTTGGAATTAGACCGCCAGGCATTCGTCTCATCCAGTAAGAATCTAAACATGTATTTCTTGGACTTTACAAAATCAAGCTAAAATTTGAGGTGAATAGAAGGAGACACATAAACTTGACTTCATGTCTAAGTAACGTTACATGGAGCAAATGGAAAATATTCTTTTGTCTTGTCGATATGTTGGACCTTGTTTAAATTGTGATAAAACAGGACACGATTAAGCGATGTGGTCTCGCTCTTGGAATTGTGTTCAAGGCGCAACAGCGATAGACTACAAGCATTGCTGGAGAAAAGTCAAACGAAGGCTGTTCAGAAAGAAAGTCAAAATCGTCTGTGATAAATTCTCCAAGTCGACATCATTTGACGAAGGTGACCCTAAGACCTCACTCTCTCTGACCAATGAACCAAGACTCAAGTTGCATATTATTCTCATCAGAAAGAGGTGTGAACAAGATGCCCATTAAGGTGATTACGTTTGGGGGCGATCCGTCGTTTTCGGATGTCTTGAAAGTTCTCGATCTCGAAAATCCAGAAGTCAACGGAGAGGCCTATGACAACTGGGCCTCCTCTGTCAAAGACTTTCCCGACGTCATTGACAAGAAGGTATTGACAGCAAGCACTGGCTACAGACTAGATTGGGGTTCAAAGAAGGCATTATAAACAAGCTTGCTCAAAACCTTCGATGAACCAGGGCAAGGCTTACCGAAAATGGAAAAATGTCTTTCAGAATCAAGCCAATAACGCTACTGACTTTGGTGAACCAAACACGGTGTGTTTGGTCGACCAATTTATGGTCAACTGGTTTATGTATACAACAGGTTGTACTCTACATTGATTGTCTCGAAACTTGCATTCCAGTTGCGCCCTCTGTATGAGCTTATAAAGGAGGTACAGTGCGCAGGACTAAAAAGGCTTCACCTGAAAAGAGCCATTGAGGAATACCTGGCAGAGGAGCACCCGTGTCACTGCCAACCTTGTCAGAATAACGGCCAGGCACTCCTTACTGGTTCGGAGTGTCGGTGCATCTGTCGCCCTGGAACCTCAGGACGAGCATGTGAGCAAGGGGCTGTGATCGGAGAACAACCAGGTAAATGATCAGAAGAACAATTAAAAGGGAAGTCAATCCCCCACAAATTTCTTTGCACTCATTAATATGTTCGCGGCACGGCATTCTGACGTGATGGCCTTTTCAATCAACAATAACCAATATTCCCCAAACGCAATATTAATCAGAATCCGACTAGTGGGGGTGCATACAACATATTATTTCAAAGAAAATGTCACCGTTGAGTGATAATCTTCTCTTTTTACAGGCGTGATTCACGGTAGTTGGAGCTGCTGGTCATCCTGGAGCTCTTGTTCTGGCGGTCAAAAGTCAAGATCCCGCACGTGCAACAATCCCAGCCCCAGCAGAGGTGGCCAGCACTGCCCCGGGGTGCCTGTAGAGCAAGTGCCCTGTGAAGATGCAGACTTACAGTATTTACAGTAAGGACGTATGCATGAATCATTTCTGATGCAATGCAATTCCAAAATTAAAATGACAACGTTAGAATTGATCCACAAGGATGTTCATTTGTGTCATCCATCGCTAACTTGTGCGCAGGATGATGGAGCCGCAATGTTTCGGCCTGTCTGTGACCCCACCAAAGATTTGTGGACCTCCTCCAAACCTCAGAAATGGCTACATCCAGGTGGATTTTGTGTGACTAGAACTGTATTAAAAACCAGGGGCGGGGCCACACCGGGGCTCGATGGGGATTTTCCTCAAGGGTGGGGGTGCCATGTCTTGCGGTGCGTGTGTGACCACAGGGAACATGTTTTATTTTATTTTTAGATTATTATTACAATTTTTTTTTTTTTTTGGACGAATTAAAATAACATGTAATTGCACATCCGCTACAGTAGATGGCATGGGCGCTCTCATTTCCTCTTCCTCGGTGGGACGTAGCAAAAAAATTGGTGAGAATCACTGAGTTAACTGAATGCTTTAAGCGTGCCTTGCTTCTGTGTGTGTTTTTCAGACCCCCAGTGACTTTTATTTGGCTGGGCACACAGTGCAGTACTCTTGCATAGATGGCTATTACCTCAGTGGAAACGCTTTGGCTGAATGTACTCCAAGTCAGACATGGAGGAGTGAAGCAATTGTTTGTAAAAGTAAGCGTCCTCCCCGGAGTATTTACCATTGACGTCGATCAGAAATAAAGAAACTGCAATCAATGAATGTAGCGTTAAAATAAAGTGAGCCTGCTCAAGTCTCAGACCACCAAAAAAAGGCTCCGGTGAAACCTGGTGAAAGTGGGAGGAGAAAGCTTTAGGCTCAGTTGTATGTAAACATTTGACCTCAACTGTTAGCTCGCACGTTCCAATTACACTAAACTGCAAGACATTGTTTTGCGTTCACAGGTTCGATGTGTAATATTCCTCATCTCAACGATGACGTTGCGGCCACGCCCGTTAAAGAGAACTATCCGATTGGAGACAGGATATCCTTGGCCTGTCCCGAGGGACTCATGCTGACCGGTGACGTTTCAGAAATCATATGTAGTCCAAGTCTGCAATGGTCTCCTTCTCCCACCGCAGCTCACTGTAGGAAAGGTAAGCGTGACGATGTATCGCATGGCCTCATTTATTCACGGTCATCCAACCATTTTCTCCAGCGCTTCTTCTCTTTAGACTCACAAGTAAGCTGGAGCATCCCAGCTGACTTGGAGCGAGATGTGGAATACATTCAGGACTGGTCACTAGCCAATTGCAGGGCACTTCAAGATAAAGAAAAAAACAATGCCGCTCTCATTTTTCTACGAGTCTGCCTTTCACCTTCAGCACAAACTTGAAAAGGCTCAAAACTTGTGTCAATTCTACCCCAGACACCTGTCTTTGTCCTGCATTAACGTTTCGTCTTGTATTTTAAGATGATGTGGCTTTCCCGCTTGCGATTCCTCTCAGGCCCCACAGCTGCGACTCCTCACGAGGGTCTGAAGTGTAAACTCTGGGAGAATGTCGGCAAAACCGAGTGTGTGTGTAAAATGCCATTCCAGTGCCCGTGGGTATTATTTGTCTGACTCTATTCTTTACATTGAAAATGTAATTGAAATCATTGACTGTTTTTTGTGTTTCAAAGGACTTCTCTGGAGTTATGTGCCAGAGTAAGCTCAGGCCAGCCTCGGGTGCTTGGTGTTTGCCAGCTCGGAGCTCTGCGATGTTTAGGCCGCAGTTTTACGCTGGTCAACGATAACGAATGTGACTGGCCGGAAGGGAATAATACCTCGGGAACAAAGTGCCAGCGTGAGTCAGGAATACTCTAAAAGTGTTGTCGTTGTCATGACAAAGTTTTTGTTGTTGTTCGAAAAAAAAAAAATACACATCGCAGCTGTGAAAACATTTGTCAAAGGTGAGAAAAAGCTCAGGGGGTTTATGTAAGACCGGGGTTTTATGTTCATTTGTTGACTATTATTCCTTACTTGTGTAGAAACATAGCCGTTTTCCTCAATTCTGTAGAAAGCAACCAAAGTATGAAAATGCACAAAACTTACATCTCATATTTATATGAGGGCAAGTCCTAACCCCCCCCCCCCTCTCCTCCCCCTTTTTTTCTAGAATTAGCTGGAGGTTGTCAATGCCAGAATCCATCGGAATGCCCAGAAGACTCAGCCCCACTGTGTGTGACCTCAGGGGTTGGCAGTGTTGCCATGACGATGACCGAGTGCCAAGTGGGGTCCAGGAGGTGTGCTGGGGAGCAGCTCACTGTCATCGGCATTGACGCATGTCCCCAATAAATGTTCCCTACCTTTTCGTTCTGTTTTCAAATGTTCATTCACACAGTAAATAGTCCAAGAATCCAAGGAGATTGTCATGTTTTTATTGTGTCCAAGCAAATTGCAACCTTTGGCAACAACGACTTTCATCCATTTTGCGACACTCATCGTAACGCTTTGCGAAATATGCCTCAAGTCTCTATTTAGCCCATATTATGTCTGTTGCGCACGTAGCATCATATGACTTTTCATGACATTGAAAAGCGGTAAGAGCAAACAGAAGTGATTTACTAAATGGGTTCAACTTATGAATGAAGAAGAGTGGCAGAATATAACAAGGCAGCCGTGGCAAGCTCGCAAGAACGTCAAATTCCAAAAATGCTTCCAAAGTATACTTGCTTCTCCATAATGTGCGTATTGTCAGTACACTTAGGTGGGCCTGATTCCGGCAGTCTATCTTTCGCTTATTTAAAACTCCAATGTGCATATTTTCTGGTCATTTAAAATTATGGCAGGAGTATTTTTGTATCATGTACTTTGGCTTTTGGGATGTTTTTTTTTTTTGTGGCACTATAACAAATATGTACCAATTTTTTGAAAATGTAATTTTTTTCACAAAAGTATAATGACGTCATTTTTTTGAGGTGATCAGGATTCGCACACACCTTCATTGAGGATCTCAAATTGATAGTTGGCACACCTCAGAGCAGCCATGGAGCAAAGGTCCACACTGCGAGTCCTCTGGATCCTGGTTAGCATCAGACAGAACTTGTGCTTCTCAACTTGGGGACACTCGCGAGCAGCAATGCACTCACACTTCTGAGATGCTGCAGACACAATGAGGACGGACACGAATTTGTTTTGATCGATTGATTCCATTTCAGTAGTAAAAGATGCCCAAAAAAAATAATCATCAGTCACCCTTACTTGAACATCTCTCCCATTCATAACACGTGTCAAGATCACACGACTCTTTGAGAGAACTCTTGGAGGCAAACTTGGCTCGGAAACGGGCCCACTCCAGTTTATCCGGATCCACGGTGTCGCAAGCACCTTCGGAGACAAAGAAGAGTGGATCGCCGTGGCAACGGCCGGCGTGGAAGGAGCAGAGGGACATCGGCACAGTGACGTTGATGTCAGTGTTCAGGATACAGAGATTCTCTGCTTCGGATCTGGGTGTACAATCACACACACACACACACAGATATATACAAACGTTACTGTATGTATCGTCCGCAAAAATGAAAGAATATGTGTGAAAAACTTACAGGCAATCCTCCCGCGGTATGCAGACACACTGAGAGCCTTGGTGTTTCTCCCCTGGACCACACTGACTGTCCGGTTCAAAAGGTTCCTCTGTAAAGCAACGAGAGAAGTCTTATGTTTCTTGAGGGAAAATATAAAATCTCAGAAAATGATATTTTCCCACATGAAGCCGCATGCATGTACCATTGGTGCAGTGCAATCCTGCAGGTAACGGAGGTTCCCAGGTGAGAGCGTCGCTGCACCTGTAAAAGCCTCGAGGCAGCGGCGACAAACCCGCCTCAACACAGTTCAAACCCACCGAATCGGCCACTTTGTACTCTTCTTTGCTGGGGAACAACGTCATGCCATCAGGAATATCGGGGGGAAGACATATCTTTCCTAAAAGTGGAGGAGAACATGCAATCATGAAGAAAGCCAGATCATGACATGACAACTTATTCCAAGAATCCGAAACCCACTCAGGCAGCTTGCTTTTGATTGGCTCCACGTCCCGTCAGGAAGACAATTGATGAACTGGAAACCCTCCAGCTCAAATCCTGTGAAACACTGGAACTCTTCATCCTCGCCAAAATTATAGTATTGCTTTGCTTTCTGGACACAAAAAAATGGAAAGATTAAAGAGAAAGAGGATCACTTCTGGTTTGCCATGGAAAAAGTGCAAATGTATCCTGCCGGACAGCCACTGATATGACACGCGCCACAAAAAAAATGGAGTGTGCATGAATATGATTGCCTTTTACCCTGAGGAAGCTGTTGTCAGGCGGCTTTGGCCTGCGACAACCCTGCACACCAGGAGGAAGCTCCTCCCTCCATCCGGTCGTGAAGTCATCATCATTGTCACATGTTTCATGTCTGGACAAGACAACATGAAGAGAAACGGTCAGATTCATTACGACGAGTATAATTCCCGTCGTTGTTTGCAGCAGGCGGCATTGGCTCTCGTCATGTGTTTTCTCGTTTTAACTTTTCCTACGGTTTGAAAAGGGAGATGTGACACAGTTCCTCATCACTGTCAGGACCCTTGCAGGGTTGGCCTCCTCTCAGGGGTGCAGGGTTGTCACATTTCCTTCTGCGATGTCTCTTCATGGAGGCTCCACAGCGACTCCACGGCCCCCAACAGCTCCAGGAGCCATCGACTTCCTCTGTGAGTTTCAAAACATCGATTACCAGAGAGGTATTACTGAAACAATTCTTTTTCATTAGCGGAGTTTCGTTTCACTCATCCAGTTGACGATCACGTGTCGGGTCACATATCATTTCAAGAGTACCTGAATCGTAGTCAGGAGCTCTCTGCTCACAGTTGGGCCCAAATGTGCCGGTCTGGCAGGCACACTTGCACTCAGTCCCAAAGAGAAAAGCTCTGGCATTGTTGGGGCAGGGAGAGCACTTGCAGGTATCAAACTCTTGCAAGTACTGCAGCAAAGCTTTCGTCAGGTGCCTCCTCTTTGTGGCTGCACACGGGATGCCCCGCACCAGATCTATGATTGGCTGCACCTGGTTGATCACAAAATGTAAAGTTCATTTGATTTTCTTTGAATTGAATTCAATACATTCCGCGTGTTTGAATCTTTTCAACTGAACCTTGAAATCAACCACAGCGGGATTATCGAGGACAGACTTGGCCCAGTTCTTGAAGGAGGTTCGATCAGGAGCGGGGCCTTGCCTCTCCCACGCCAGAGACGCCGCCTCTCTGGTCCGTCCGCCTTTCACCGCAGAGTAGGACTTCTCCGCTGCCTGGATGTATGAGCCTGGCCCGGACAACAACATGAAAACAAATACACGCCGGCAATACTCGTCTTTGTGTTTGCTGTTGCCAAGTGGCAGGAACCTTGATATTTTTGAGTCATTTTGTTGTCGGCGCACATCGGTAGAGCCCTCCCTTGAGCCAGAACGATTCGCCATTTGGTCTCTCGGCCCAGACAGCCTTTGACATGTTCCTCCGTTTCACCTGTTGGCGAGAAACCATCAAGAATGTCGCGGCACAAAAAGGACATCGCATTTGTAGTATTTCTCGAGTTAAAATTCCTTGTTACGGGTTTAATGTAACATTGAATAGCTTTTAGTTCCGTGGAGTACCAAGAACCTCGGGGCTTCCCGCACCTGAACTGGTAAGCTCCTCTCGGTTGTACTGGTAGAGCAGATCATAGAGGCCTCCAAGTGTCCCCGAGCTGTAGTAATGAGTTCCAAAGCGTTGAAAGATGTTTCTGTAGAGGCCGTAGTTGTATTCGATGGGAAGAGCGTGGAGGAACTTGAGGAACGGTCCGGACAAGACCAAATCGCTCGGGTCCCGAACTTTGAACGTGGACACAGGCAGAACCTGGTGCACCCGGAAAAACACGGAATCCTAACAAGAACAATGATTACATTTAACTTGGTCGATGAAACAATCCTCATGTGATTGTTCAACATCACTATCACAATATTTTTCCTTCAACAATCCGCGAAGGAGCAAAGCCGTGAAAGTTGAACGTGTGAGTGAAGTCATTATTTGAACTTGTTTGCTGACTCACCGATTTCTTTGACGCTTCGAATGCATCCTTTGACTTGATATGTGACGTCAAAAACCGCCGTCCGAAGAAAAAGATGTCTTGGTTTCTCTCGTCCTCATTGGACTTCTTCACATGAATGGACTCGGAGTGCAGAGGGCGGGGATCCGTGCTGAAGTCTTCCATCACGCCAGCCTTCACGACCACGACCACAACAAAATGAATAGCAACTTGGTTGCAAAGATCTGATCGAAGGCAAATTAGAGGGCGTGGCCCCGTCTTTCACTAATTGATCGGTTTAAACGACAATTTGCCGAATTTGTGTTGTTGTCGAACCAAACGGGGACTTTCAAAGTGGCAGAGACACGCCTTTCCCTCCTCTTAAACCAGTGCTCACATATCTATTCTTCGTTGCACCGTTGAGAAATTAAAGCACCAAATTGATCGCAATCACGTCCTCGACGAGAGGAAGCCAAAGCGCATCTACTTTTGGAAGGGGACTGACTGTACTTGACGTTACCTGAATGTCAAAGCTCTCAAAGTTGTGCGGTATCCGATGGTAAAGCAGTGTGCTCGGAGGCCTCCTGATGATACAGCTTCCTCCCATGAACATGTTGTCCAGGACGGCCCCTCGCGGCTCATTTGCCAGCGCATCGAACCTTCCAAAATATATCCGTTAACGGTTCTATCCGAAACACCTTGAAGATGAGCAGAAAGCTAAATATCGTTTCGGTTATGATAGAGAAGGTCAGGGTGCCGGCTGCACTGGAAGCTATCCCAACCAAGAGGGGGAGAGACACTCACACTTCGCCTCCCTAAAATCGTTTCGTTTTCAATAAAACAAACATGGATGTTTTGGAATGTGGGAGCAAGCCAAGTTCGGTTGTTGGGCCCAACTGATGTTCATTCTTGTGGGCGAAGCGAGAAGATTTATGGGCGTAGCAGCACGGAATGCGAGCTGCTGCCTTGACCTTTCGCTCACCCGTTCCCCACCAGGTCAGCACCGGGAGCCGCTCTCTTCTCGGCTGGACACACAACTTTGAAGTCAGCGCAATCCCTCTCATCGGAGTTATCTTCGCAGTCGTTCTGTTTGTTGCAAGTTAGTGTGGCGTTGATGCAGCGTCCTGAAACAGCGAGCAAAGATGTCAGAAGAAGTCTGTCTGAAATTCAATACCCAGGTTATAATATTTTGGGATTTTTTTTTTAAGATTAAAAAAAATACATAGTTTAGTATACTGTAGTTTCGAAAAACACAATAGTGCCCAAAAGTAGAAGGAATTGGCCAAAATAGTAATACTGTCCTCCCAGTAGAAGGCAAACCGCCGATACCGTTGTCGCATTTGAAGTTGTCTCTGCAGTCGATTGGTGCCAGCTTGCACTCTGTGGCAGGATAACAGGGCCTCTCTTCCATCAGTTCCACATCGCATGACGCGCCACCAAACTGGGATGGCGTTTGGATCGCCCTGGTCCGTAACTGTGACAGTGACATCAAAAGAAAAGCTCATCACTGCTTTGTTTTCTCATGCAAAAGACTAACCCTAAAAAATTCGAATGATGGCTGTACTCCATCCCGAGATCCCTTGTCTCCAATTCCATCGCAGTACTTTGCTCGGATGTACTTTTTATAAAACTGAAATGTGCTGACGAAGGAACCTTTTGTACTAGTTTTGCAATGTGTCTTGCCTGTTTCTTGGCACAAGGGGAGCAGTCAGACCAGGGCCCAAACTCTGTCAGCAGGCAATTTATGGGACAAGCCTGCACATTACAAGCCTTGCTGTCACGACTCTTGCACAGCTGATGACAGCTGCTCTTCCAGTAGTAATCGTCATATTGAAACGTCCTGAACAAAACAAATCTTTTGCATCAGAATCCACAATCCATCGATTTTGATCTGTTTAGCGTGAACCAAGGTGCCCTTGCCTTTGTCTGCTCTGCGTGCCGTGGTTGCATGTCCGGGAGCAGGTAGACCATGGGCTCCAGGGGTAGCGATCGCAAAAACAAGACAGACCGGCGGATATCAAAGTGAGGAGATGGAGCAGCAGGAACAAACTGGTGGAAGAGTCCATCGGGAGGCTTCCAACAAAGACTGAAGGAAAAGTGCATATCCAGGACATAATTATTCATGCATCAAGTCAAACCTTCATATCATATCTTCTTGATGTTTTTTTTTTTTTTTTTTTTTTAACACAGTGGGTGGGTTCCACCCTGGACCGGTTGCCCGCCAATCGCAGGGTACACATAGACCAACAACCATCCGCGCTCACACTCACACCGAGGGACAATTTAGAGTGTTCAGTCAGCCTGCCATGCATGTTTTTTTTAATGTGGGAGGAAACCGGAGTACCCGGAGAACACCCACGCAGGCACGGGGAGAACATGCAAAGTCTACACAAGAAGGCCATAGCCCGGGATCGACCCCACGACCTCTGCACTGTAAGGCCGCACGGGGAGAACATGCAAAGTCCACACAAGAAGGCCACAGTCCACGACCTCTGCACTGTAAGGCCAACATGCTGACCACTGCAACTCACCACGTCATGTTTCCGCATGCATCGCTAGAACTGTCGTTTACGTTTTGTTATAACATTACGTAAACGGCATCACAATACACCACGCGAAGATGGATGAAATAGTCTGACTCACCACACGCAGGGGTGCGTCTCAGCCGATAACTGTTGAGTCTGGGACGTTGTCTGCACTGCAGGCAGAGCTGATTCTGAACCGAAATTTGTATTGACAGGTTCTTATATGTACACCCTCCCTCTGGAATTTCTCCTTGAATCCAGCTCGTTTTGGACCAACTTCCCCCTCAGCATTAAAAAAAAAAAAAAAAAAGTCCCAAATTGGCGTACCTTTTTTGATAACAAAATTCTGAACATGTGAAGTAACATAAACTAGTTGTCCCTCCAAATTACGGGAAGGAAAACACTGAGAGGAGTTTCCCGTATGTGCCAGATGTGCTCCAGATGTGCCGTGTTGAATCTTGACACTTTCATATTGAGAGAGAAGGAAACTTTTTCTCCCCTGCAATTTCACAATCTTGCACTCACACGGTGCTCAGTGATGCTCTTTATTCACGTCATGCCGTATTTGTGAATTGGATCCATGGTTAGGAGTGTTTCAAAATGCAAGCTGTTGAAAAAGTTGGCTCTTTCTCAGTTACATGGGTTGTTTTTCATTGTTTTTGGAATATGTCCATCATTACCAGACCGAGATGTCGTCGATATGTCCAAAATATCGCAAGGACATAATTTATGACTTCCATTTGAGAACCCCTTGAACCCGCAACAGTGAAAAGCATTCATTTTGAAGAAATATGAGTTTCCATTTCTCAATCCTGTTTGTTTACAATAGGTCTTGGGAAAGGAATGGGAACATTAACCTCTCCTCGGCCATGATGACAAATGTTTGTGCTATATTTGTAGCATCCATCCGTTAGTGACATCTGACACGTATGGGACCGCGGGAATACAATGAAGCCACTTTTAAATGGCCGTATTTTTACTTACAATTCGGAAAACTGAAGTACTGGATAGAAAACTTTATTCACATTATAAAATTAAGCTGTACATACATAGGCGTTGCTTGTCTACATAGAAGGACACTAACTACACAATACATGCCATGATCATAAAAATACGCATGAAAAGAAAGGTTCCACATGAACATAAATTTTTCAAATGACCGTACATTACATTTGCATTTACATTCAGTGGAGAAACGACTGGAGTACGGATCGATGTGATCAGTGACATTTGTCTTCAAGTGGAATCGTGTTGGGTCTCTGCGGAAAGATGTCAAGCTGAACAAGACGTTGCTTGGCATGCTGTTGCTGAAAACGACTGCGAGCTCTACTCGTGTCCACTAGAGGGGGCAATGACCAAGTCACACATGCATTATTGAAAACAGTCATGACGTCATAAAAGCTTGATTAACAAATGAGGACTTTCATTGATTTCGACCTTGGAGTCTGGGGGTGGGTGGGGTGGGGGGGATATAAACACAGAGAAGGTCAAATGAGGCCTGTTTTGATTGAACTGGTGGTCACTGGGAAATTGGTATCATTCTTTTTTTTTTTTTGTTTTCTTTTTTACCGGATAATCTGATCCGTTACCGCCGAAGGAAAGGACAACGGTGGTCTTCATTCAAACTTAATGTCATGCTGATAAATCTTGCAGTTGGAGACATGTCATAGTCGATCGTAAAGCACTGAGCAACCAATACCACCATGCATCAACACTCTAAAAGGGGAAATCAAAGACGAACAACATCAAGAAAGAAAAAAAACCTTGAGACTCAGCAAACGTGAGCGGCGATTCCCCTTCGCCCCCTCTCTCTGAAATGAAACGCATCATTGGAACCAGGTGTGGGGATGCGACATCCCACCGACACACTATTTTGTCCACGGCGTGTACCTGCTGTGAAACATACGATACGTATCTGGGATTAACACCGTGTACTGTGACAGACATATCGACGGGACACGAGCACAGTGAGAAAACAAGAACGGTGATAATGCTTGTGCATAGCCCAAATATATACAATTTAATTCAATACACTGTATATGTTGAAAACTGAATAATAAATGCAAAACCTTCTCAACTCCTGGAAACACCACGAAAGACTAAAAGGCCGATGCAATCTAAACAGTGCCGTTTGTGGAAAGATATGATTATTCAATGCTGGAGGAACGTCCGCTGACCGGGGAACGACGACGGTGTATCTTTCATGAGGACGAGAGGATAACCAAACGTGTTGATGTACAGTACACGATGAACGGAGTCCGCGACTGTTAACCGGACACCATGCAGCAGAGTCCTGGGAAGCGTCTCTTCCTTTGGCGGACCAGCGGGTGTGGAGTCAGATTCAACAAGCTGCTGTCGTCTGTGACACACACAGCATTCGGGTTAATACGTAGTACAAAATACATCATTTGGTCCTCTTACAACATGAGCGGTTGTTCGTGGATTGAAAAAGTATCAAAACGCGGCACCGAGATAAATTATTTCCAAACTTTTTTGACCCCATTAATGTGACCTTTAACCTGTACGACTCAACTGAGAAAAACCCTGATATATATATACATTCAAACTCATGTTAAATATGAGTCAGCACACAACTGCCACCGCTTCAAGTGGCTCAGATGAATCCCAAATAAAGCTCAGCCGTTCCTGAAACATCGCATCGGCAAGAGTTACAATCGGAAATGGTAAACATCACATTTCACTGTTGACACACCTTGATTTTTCAGTGGCAAAGGCATTGTGTCCCTGAGTTTGCTAAGCAGATTTCTCATCTCCTGCATATCTCTGCCAACACAAAAACAGAAGTCATGACGAGTCTGATTTTTGCATGGAGAAAAAAAAAAAAGTCTCGAAATGAACAACCAGTGTATAGCACGAGGGGAAAAAGTCACTCTGAAAAGTCTGCATACCTCTCGATGTTTTCAATGTGGACTCCCACCAGCCACGGATCGTGAGGGTAGTCGATGGGTGAGGAGGAGCGGTCCTCGAGGATGGGAACATCCGAACTTTCGTCCACCCTGAAGTCCATCTTCGGCTCGGAGTCGGTTCCTCCAGGGCCAAACACAAAATAAAATTTCTTGAAGCAAAATAAATACGTTCTCCATACTCTGGATTGACGCTGCAAAGGCTAAGTTTGGTAAACACGTGGACAAACTTCGTCGGAAATAACACAGTGCTGCTACTGCTGATAAAAGCAGTCAGATCGTTGTGGTTAGCTCCGTTGCCGAAATCGGTCTACAGTATAAGGAAGGGCATTGCTCCTCTTTTGTGGGTTTGAATTCGGGGGCGTCGTCGGGCCCCATCGTGTGATGTCGCCGTATCGTGATTGTACTTTTTCTGTGAAGCTGCAACACCCCCAGCAGGCACATGGACTTCAACATCTCCGTGATGAACATCTCCAGGCAACACTGCAGCTGGATGAAGAGCCGGCATATCTCCGGGTGGATCTCTCCGTCCTCCGGGCTGCAGCGGCGGTTGATAAGGGAGGAGTGGGAATTTAAGAAAGGGGCACACAGGCGATAAGAACAGAAGACGGAAAAAGAAATCTCGTAAAATGACAATAGGCCGTGTGAACATGCGCAAAAACCCAAATCAGACTCCTGGGGTACCCCTTTCTCTAATCCGCTTATTGGGTCATGTAAACCCGATCGGGTTACCTCATGTCGAACGGGTCATTGATTTGTCTCTCGCTCAAGTATTTGCAAAGTGCCTTTTCATCAGACCCATTTGCAAGTAGCAATGATGCTAAGGCGGTGTTTAGGATGGTAATTTAGCAAACGATTGTGTGCACATGATAAGGCGTATTTATGATTCCTAATTGCTGCACTTCTTAGTAGTTCACTGTGTTATTTTATTTGACTATACTTTTATCGTGCAGAAGAATAACACTGAATGAACATGAATAAAATGTTGAATTTCTCTCTAATTACCGTTGTTGCCAGTAGCAGTCCTTTAAAACAAGCAAATTAAAAGTAATACGAAAAAAATGGTTGCCGATCCGCGAACGGCGTGTACTTGTCTCAACCGGTCCGTGACATACAAAAAAAAAGGTCGGGCACCACTGCTATAAATAACCAACGCAAATCCCGTCCTTGCTATTTCATACGGCCGCAGAAGGTGACTCTCATGCTTACCCAGACACAGCGATGAGGGCGAGGTCTTGATGCGCAGCCCGGGCCATGGAGCATCCTTTCGCTCGCGTGTAGTGCATCTGAGCCCGCAGGGAGGGACAGTCGGCTGACATCTCACCCACAGAAATGACCTGTTCCCGGTAGAGCGCCACCAGGGTGTTGAATTCCTGCACAGTCTGAACAAAATCACCCGCTTGTTGTTTTCCGTGCAGACAAGCGCGGGTACCGTTGACGTGTTTTCAAAACGACTGGCGACAGTGATTTGCCTGCATGCGTTCTACACCTGCGCAGCCCCGAAATGGGCTGCTGACGGGAAACATCTTGCTGTGGCAGAAACTCACCATCCTGCTGACGTCCACGGTGCTCTCCCGGTGCTCCGAATCCGTCGTCGGCCCTCTGGTGACGGGCAAGACGCTGCCAGCGGATCGGGGGCGCTTTTTCCGCCCGCACGGTGCAGAACTCATGCATGCAGAGAGCGCCCGTCTTCTTCTGGCGGCTTGCTGTCTGTGTCCTCTAAGCGAAGCAAAAAAAAAAAGACGCTACCGCCGAGGACGCCGCAGAAAAAAAGCGCGGTGAGCTAGCCTCGAATGAGGCGAACAGATGTTCCCCGGATGAGGACAGTGTAGCGGGGCGGATGGACCGCCAGCAGCTCCCTCTGCATCCCCCAGCCGAGAGGAGAGTCACCTTCAGCCGCTTGTGAAGGCCGAGGGGGAGGCTCCGACGTCTTCCGCCGCACGCTCACGTGTGAGGAGGGGAAACAAGTCGTCACCCTCCCGCCTGACTTCGCCTTAACCCTTCAGACGCCGCACAGTCTGAGGACACCTGCAACGGCTACTTTAGCAGAGTTGGGATTTCAAAGATATGACCTTTTTGTTCAAGATCCTGGGTACTTGAAGACTTCGGTTAAGTTTTCTTTTCACCGACCTGTAATGGACACAAATGTTCAAGGGTCAATGCTGATTTAGTCTGTTTAATCTCAATGTTTTTCGACTCGACTCGATTTAAAACTGAATTCTGAGCTTTACAAGGCTCCACGTTTTGTGTACAATCCCGCCGCTGTACGGTGCTGAAAAATCATACAAATGATTTGAAATGATTGCTGGGTGGGTTTTAAAATGTTGACGTGTCTACCGAGAGTCAAACCTTGCCATTTTCTGAGAAATGTGAACAAAAAAAAAAACCCCAAAAACAAATCAAAGAGTTAAATTTAAGCTGGATGTAGCCATGTCGTTAAACAGGACGAACCCCAATTGGATTTTCTTCCAAGTGTTGAATACACAAGTAAGTAATTTGGCACCCCAGCTCGGCAATGAACCCAAAGACCTTCTTGTGGCAATTCCTTTTTAGTCCTTGTCTTATCTTACACCCTTCAGCATCAGTGTGTGCATTGGGGTAAGAAGCACTCCACGCTAGAGTTCTCCAAGCTGCGTCTATATTTGCCTGCTGCCACCCGACATGGAATTAGCGTTCATTCGCCAACGTGCAAATCACTCAGCCACAAAAAGTTCAATGCATTGTTTTAATGGCCATAAAAGTGCAGGGTTAATTGTACTTTCTGCATGAACAAAGACACAATTTGCAGTCAATAATTTTCCATCCAAGTTTTTACATGAGCAATTTGTGATGTGATTTGTGAAGTGCATGCGGGGACTTATTTAACCTGCAGACATCATTTAACATGATTCAGAAGCGTTTTTTTCCCCCCCCCTGCTACCACCTGTTTCCATTTAGGGTTGGCTGCAACTTCCAACAAAGTTTCATTCACATCTGATCCAATCCATGAATATTTCAAATGCAGTAACCTGGTGAGATGCTTAAATTTCCAGCAGATTCGGGTACAATTTGAGGTGCTTATAGTAGAGTGTGTTCCCTATTCGCAAGAGTTTTGTGCGTTTGCGTGTGAGAGAATATGAGACTGCAGACACACAAGATAAGAAATACTTACGTTCGGAAGGCTTTGCGGCAGCTGGGCAGAGGCCACTTAACACATGAGGCATTTTTGAAGAACTGCCTGCGAGCGCGGTACACTCTCCGGAAAGAGGCTTCTGCTTTCCAGGCTGAGTTCTGAAAAAGAAGGAAGCGGAAAACAGTGCTGCATTGACTTGTGAGTCGAATCCGATGTGACCAAGCTCCAAACTCAAATCGGATGGTTGTTCGTCTCCGTGTGCCCTGCGATTGGCTGGCAACCGGTTCAGGGTGTCCCCCGCCTACTGCCCGATGATGGCTGGGATAGGGTCCACCCCGCGACCCTTGTGAGGATTAAGTGGATCAGAAAATGAATGAATGGATGAATGAATTGATCTCGATCGTACCTTTTTTGTGTGTGTCAATTAAGGAATAACATATATATAATTTCTGCATGAATACATTAAACGTAGGCAAACTTAAATGCACTGGATAGCTTGGGGGGAGGGACAGGAGGAACGAAATGATTGTTTGACTGTTTTCGCCCACCCTCGCCCCCCCCAAAAAACCCACAACAACACTACTGGGGTGCAATTAGTTTCCTCCCTGCACCATCACACGAACACCGTGACGCACTGGTATAAATACGCAGCATCTCTCGAAGCCGTGAGCCTCCAAGAGTGGCTCGTCCGCTATGCGCCGCTCAAAGTGGGACAGCTCGCTCTGTGCCATCGAGGAGCATTTCTAAATCGTGCCCAAGCGGCATGGAGGACGCAAGCAACACGACAGTCTCGTCTCGGTTCGACCTCCCTTTAAACAAAAGCGGCACGGCCACCGAAGACGAGGAGGTGAGGTTGAGTTCCCAAGTCCTCACCTCCTTCCTCCTCTGCGCGCTCATCCTGTGTGCGATTTTTGGGAACGCGTGCGTGGTGGCGGCGGTCGCCCTGGAGCGCTCTTTGCAGAATGTGGCCAACTTTTTGATCGGTTCCCTCGCCGTCACCGATTTAATGGTGTCGGTGCTGGTTCTGCCCATGGCGGCGCTGTACCAGGTCTTAAACAGGTGGACGCTGGGGCAGATTTCGTGCGACATCTTCATCTCTCTGGACGTGTTATGCTGCACCTCGTCCATATTGCACCTGTGCGCCATCGCGCTGGACCGGTACTGGGCTATTACCGAGCCCATAGACTACATGAAGAAGAGGACGCCTCGCAGGGCGGCGATTTTGATCGGCGTCACTTGGCTGGTGGGCTTCTCCATCTCGGTACCGCCGATGTTGATCATGCGCTCCCAGCCCAACAGCGTGGAGGAAGACAGGAAGAACCCGAAGCAGTGTAAGATCCGGCAAGACCCCTGGTACACCATTTATTCCACTTTTGGCGCTTTCTACATTCCGCTCGTGCTCATGCTGGTTCTCTACGGGCGCATATTTAAAGCGGCCAGGTTCCGCATTCGGAGGACCGTGCGTAAAAGCGAAAAAAAGAAAGTGGCCGACTCCTGCTCGGCTCTATCGCCCGCGCTCTTTCACAAAAAGACGCCGCGGGAATCGCAGACGAAAAGCTGGAAACGAAGCGTGGAGCCGCGGCCGGCGCCGTGCGTCAACGGCGCGGTCAAGCACGCCGAGGACGGAGAATCTCTGGAGATCATCGAGGTTCACGGCAGCCTCAAAGACAACCTCCCGCTGCCGAACACGCCGAGCGCCGCGCCGTTGTTCCAGAGCAGGCACGAGAAGGCCACCGAGGCCAAGAGGAAGATCGCCTTGGCTCGGGAGCGCAAAACGGTGAAGACGCTGGGCATCATCATGGGCACCTTCATCCTTTGCTGGCTGCCCTTCTTCATCGTGGCCCTGGTCATGCCCTTCTGCCAGGAGTCGTGTTACATGCCCCGCTGGCTGGAGGACGTCATCAACTGGCTGGGCTACTCCAACTCGCTGCTCAATCCCATCATTTACGCCTACTTCAACAAAGACTTTCAGGGGGCTTTTAAGAAAATCATAAAGTGTCATTTCTGCAGACCCTAGGGCCCTTTTCAATGGCGCCATCCTGACCGCAGCTGCCCCGAAAAAAAACCATCCCGTCCGGCGACCGATCCGAAAAGAAAATAACTGACTGTATAAGCGACTCCAACCATCACCACGCAAACCATCCAGTATTAAATATCACCTGAGGTATGTGCATCCATAAAGCTCTATGGTTCCTCATGCTGTTCTGTCATGTTCAATAAAGATACAATTTGTAATCACCGGCTCGTCATTTTTAAAATTCTGCAGCTATGAAATCGAGACTAAATTTATCCACATGCATATGAAAACCTGTTGATGTCTTCTGGGTTCATCTGTGCGATTTTAATTCATTAGAAATAAAGTGCTTGGGTTTTATTTCTTAAAAATAAATCACTTTGAGTGACGTGTAATATTGTTTCAAGATTTCTGATTTCATTCCGTTAAAAAAATGCAGATGCAAAATGTACTTTCTGTTTCAGACGATCAGTTTTAGGAGCACTTGTTTCAAGATTTCTGATTTCATTCCGTTAAAAAATGCAGATGCAAAATGTACTTTGTTTCAGACGATCAGTTTTAGGAGCAAATTTTTACGTTTAAGTACTTCTCCGTCACGAGGGGCAAGTGCAAACGCTGAACTCATAGCCGAATGTCGATTTCAGGAGCATGGGCACCTTTTTTGCCTTGTTTTTTTATTTGTTTGTTTGTTTCATTCTTTCTTTCTTTCTGTTTTTCATTTTTGTCACCAGTCAACCTAAAAAGATATCGTTGTTCGGGTCAGGGTGTGTCTCTCACGGCCGTTCCCTCGGTCACTCTCGGTCTCATAACAAACAATATTTCTTGAAAGGCAGCAGAAGGGAGGGGGTGGGGGGGGCACCCAAATGGATGAGAGGTGGTTGCCATAGCAACATATGGGAGATGCAAACTCCGGGAGCCGAAGGGGCAATTACCTGATCAAAGGCCTGGTACAACACAAGAATACAGAGGTGTATTTGAGTGGCCCACAGCTGGCGGCCATCACACACAATGAACAGTTGTATTCTATTATTTTTTTGTATTCTGGTATTTGTTTTTCACCCAAATGAGTATTCGTTATAGTATCCTGCAGGATAAGAAAACAAGCAAAAAACAGCTAGCGAACTTTAAAAAAAAGCAGTGAATTGTCAGTGAATTGTGTATGTCACACAAGATAACAGTTATGACTCACACATATATATATATATATATATATATATATATATATATATATATCCGGGTCCGGGTGATAACATATATTCCCGATTGGTACGAAAAGCCCAGGCCTCGCAACTTAAATCAGCTTTCCCGTGGCTCTGCATGGGTTAAACGCTATTGTAAATGGATAGCTGAATGGAACCGAAGCGGAACATTTTGCTATTGCCGTCAAGTGCAGTTGTCCGCAAGTCATCCTGCTTATTGAAGGCGGTGAAAAGCATGCATTCGACTCTTGTATTGTTCCATCAAACTCACCCCGCAGAGGCACCGTCGGCACTCTGCTGTCACAGGAATTATCTTATGGCCTTTCACAAGCACACTGCACCCAAATAAGGAATTACAAGTTTGCTCTTGGATCGTTTTTGCCCAGGCTTAGAAGTGAAGCGACAACAGCAATGCAGCTCATTTCATTAAAATAGCTAAATGATGGTTTGTTTGATTTTTTTTTTTTTTTTAATACACAAAATGTTTATTGAATAGTTTATGGTGGAGAGAGCAGTGACTTAATTTCTTGGATTTTTTGATGCTAAACAGGACATTCAATTGCAATTATTGACCAGGTTCAACATGTATATAAGGTGCCCGTGCTTCACTGGAGTACAAATTCCAGCGCAGCTTCACCACTCTTCATTGCTTTGCAGGACTGTCAATAAAGTCCCATTCTCTTCATTAATGACCAAGATGTCGTGTTTATTACGCCTCCCAGGACTTGTCACTTGCATGGTCTCCCTGTGCTTGCACGGATTTTCTTCCAAAAGGTACACTGAAGACTGAAAATATCCCGTCAGTAAGTGGTTGGTTGTGCCCTGCAATTGGCAAGCGATAAATCCACGGTGTACCCAACCACACATCCAAAGTCCCCGCCCACTCCCCCAAGACGGCCGGGATAGGCTCCAGCACCCCCCGCGGCTCACGTGAGGAGAAGCGGGTAAGAAAATGGATGGTTGGAGGGACGGTCATCAGGTTTTGTTCTAATCCCATGCGGCGTCAATGGCAGTGTGTTGACTTGAACTCACCAGGAAGTGTTTATCTCCTCTCTTCCAACTATTCTTGTTTGTACATCCAAATGTGGTTTCTTGCTGCCGTCTGGGTCTTTTCGCGAGACCGACAAACAAAGTGATCAACGCTAATTGCACATTTGCATCCCAGAGTTTGAAAGGGTTGTTGTGGTATCCTGCAGGGGAGACAACTTGGCGGGCAATAACAACAATTACCATTTTGCTTTCGCCACATGTTGTTTGGGAATGAGAGAAGTCAAGATTGCCTTCAGAGTCTCAAGGCTTTTCAAGAAAAGAAATCATCAGTCAGGAGTCGTGCACAAAATGCATATTGTCAGTTAATTGCGTGAAATCACCACAAATTGATAATATAAGGGATGATCGCGGGTTTTGGGCAGGTGTGGTCCTGGTTTGGCCCCCCCGTGTGCATGTCTGATGTCGCTCGCCGTGGTCCATGGAATGCTTGCCGACTTGGTGAGAATGCTCAGACGGATGGAAAATGAGAGGGAGCGTTGCTTAGCAGCATGTATTATCGTTAAATGGCTTACTTTTGAATGTCAAGTCGGACCGCTGAAGTTGTTTTGTGGAAGGTAACACAAAAGTAACGCGGAAGAATTGCAACACATTGCAATTCGGAGAAAGTAACGTTCTCATATAATTACCCGAAGCAAATAGCAACATGAAGAGGAAGAAAGAAATCAGACTTCACGATGAGCATCATGCTCTCGGGTCAGAGGGACGAGTGTTCGAAAAGAATGACCTTGGAATGACTGGATAGGCTGGAGAGCCTGGAGGGCCTGTAAGCGCCAATCCGAGAGTACACGTCCACGTCTGAGCAGGCTCCCCATGACAGGTGGGGGCTCGGCGCGGCGGTTTGGGTCGCGGGCAGAGGAGGCGTCACCTGGAGTGAAGATACTTCAGGATGGACGGACGCCGGGGGCGGAGCCATCGGGGCCGGGAGGGCTACTGGAATGGGTGGCAGTGGCGTGGCGGCTACAGGTATTGCTATGGCAACGGTTGGCACGGGCGGAACAGCGTGCGCAACGTTGCCGTTGGACAGCTTCTCATATGATGGAGGGTGCTTGAACGTGTAGGTGGCCGCGTGGTAGAAGCTGCAATACTCCAAAGCGTGTCTTGCACTCGCCATTTTCAGCCTACGGAACACCACAAAAGTCGACGTGATCCGATGTTACGATCGTTCGAAGGAGGAGGGCAAACTTGCCCAATCTTTCGAGTTGTATCTCAAATTCGACTGTACCCCAACAAAGACAGTGTTGTGCTAAGGCTTGACTTAGGAAGGAGGACAGTTATTTTATGTTCAACAGATGGCCAAAACAGAAGCTCATTAGCTGAGGTAATTATGCGCAGTTTTGAAAGGGCGATAATATTAGTTTGACACATTGAACCCGCTTTGTAATGTCACCTGAATGATAATGGCATGCTAATGACTGCAAGGTATGCCTTTCAAATTGAATTTAGGAGGATGTTTTTTGGAACAAGTTTTGACTTCATCGGAAGTTCCGAGCTCCCACTCAGTGACACGGTGAATGTGAATAACAGTGTCACGATCGGTGTTTTGGTTCATTTGGTGTCGACCAATCAGCTCCCTCGGCTACTCGTCACAGGTGTTGCTCCTTGTCTCATCAGTTTGCTTGAATTTAGTTCCCAGTTTTTTTGTTGTTGTTGTTGTCGATTTGTTGCTTTTGTTTCTGTCATCGTCAGTCATCTTTCTTGTTTCTTTTGGTGATGAGTTTAGTCGTATGACTATGAATCATGTTTTGTTGGATTTTGTTCATGTCTTATTTTGGTTCCTCCACCCTCCTTGATTTCCTTTTTGGGGGTGGGGGGATTAAAAACTTGTCTAGATTCCTCCTGGTCTCCACTTGCCTCTCTGCTTCCCTGCCCCCCTGGATCCCCCGAAACCACAAAATAAAGTTCGTGACAGAGAATGATGAGCTGAATTCGTACGTGTCCGTGAGGTTGCTCAGTTCAGTCAAGACAAAAGTCGAAATTCATTTTGGCGGTCATTTCATACACACCTGTGTCGTGTTTGTAAGAGTCTGTAGAGAAGCCACAAGATGACAGCTCCGGCGAGAGTCACCAGAAGCATCATGACTCTGGCATCCAAACTCCAGCACGATTTCCCAACCGCTTCGGATGAGCGACATGTCCTGGAGGGCTGCGCTGTCTCCATTTCTTGTTTGGCTCTGACTGCTGCTTGGACTCGGCCTGGCTGGCTGCTGCTCCGCACAGCTGTCTCGGGATGGGGAAAGAAAGAAGGAGAAGTGCTGTTGGCGACCTCAGCTCGAACCGTCATCGCTACCAGCTTCGATCGACAGAGTCGAGGGACTCGGCTATAAACCGTGCTGTCCGCGATGCTTAGCTTCAGTTGGCCTGGAAAATGAAATGTTAAAATTACCGCTAAGCGATTAAAATAAATAAATAAACAACAAAGTCATGTTGTTCGGGAAAAAAATAAAATACAAAAACAGGGCTTACCTTGAGCACCGAAAGAGCGCGCTGACTGTGTGGTGGCGCAGCCTTCCACGACTAAATGCAGAATTCCAGGCATGTACAATTGGAGGGAAGCTAGTAAAAACAACAGGAAACGCTGCACTTCCTTAACAGAGTGCTGCGATGACTTCCTATCGCCATGGTTACAGGAAACTAGTCTAGGATATCTTTTTTTTTTTTCTTTTTTTCTTCTTTGGAGATGCATGTGCATCGAAAGGATGTCGAGAATAAACGTGCCATTACGTGCATCTTCCTGACAAGTGTATAAATGAAGTCGCTAAATGCACCAGCATCAATGCCGTAGGATAAATGCACACTCATAAAAGGAAATTTGAATCAAGGCGCAGCATGCCAGATGCACAGACGGAACACACATCGTCTGACGTTTGTGATGCTGGAGCAAAGACCGAAACTAAACATATGTTGTCTCAAAGAGGAAGTAAACATCTGCTTCAATGCTGGTGGAGGTCACCAGATGCAGACAGATGGCAGGCGCTATGAAAGGTTTGCTACTATCTGATTTAGCCAGTATTCAGGAAACAAATAAATGACACGCCGGCACTAAAAAGGCTCGCTTCAATGCAAGTCCGGCTTTCATTTATCGGTCTAATAAGTTTGGATTCCGGGCTGAGCCAAAAGGGAGCAACTCTTAGCTCGCGCTCAATATCCCTGCTTGGTACTTTCACAATCCTTTGATATCGGAGAGAGTCATATTAAAAGATCTGTTATCGCAAGTCCAATTGTGGTTGAGGGGAGAGGTGACCCGCCCAGACAACCTGGCAGAGAATGGAACAAGGAACAATGCTCCGTCCTAAAAGCGTAGGCAATAAAAGAATGGAATGTCATTTTGATTTTTGCATTGCTAATTCGAGGAAAAAAAAAAAAGGTTTGAAACATTCATTCTAATTCTAGTCTCTGTATGTTGTGTCTCAAGGTGGAGTATTTCAAGCATAATTATGTTTTCAAATGGGGATCATTGTCCCAAACAAGGAGGGGGGGGGGGGGGGCCTCGGAAAATGTTGCCCGTCCATCATTCGTCATTCACCAGCAGGCGGGCCACCCGTCCGTCATCATCGCTCCGTCATGAAATCTGTGTTAAAAAATAGCTTTGAAAATATCCAATTGGAAGTTGACCATCATATTATCATGATTCTGTTTGTGACCAACAGGTGGCACTGTAGGGCTTTCCCTGCAGCTGCACACCTGTTGGTCGTTATGTAATTAGTTTGTTTGTTTAAAAGGCCTCCCGGCACGACCGCTCGCAGCTGCACACCTGTTGGTCGTTATGTAATTTGTTTTTTTTTTTGAAAAAGGCCTCCTGGCACGACCGCTCGCTGTTGTTTGTTTGTTTGTTTGTTTGTTTGTTTGTTTCTTTCTGTCATGGTTCTGTTCTCGTTTTTTTGCTTCAGTCGTCCTGTCATGTTTGTTTCTGTCATGGTTCTGCTCTCGTTTTTTTTTTTGCTTCAGTCATGGTTTTGGTTTTCTACTTTGGATTCTTTTTGTTTTCAAGACTTTGTTTGTTTAGGATTTAGTTTTCTATGTTTTTATTAATACAATTCATCAAGTACACCCTGCTCCTCCCTCCTGCCTGCTTTTTGGGGTCCACCACCGCCACCTCGCAATCGTGACACATATAAAAGATTCCAAATCGAATTTGAAAACATGCTTGGACATGAACGTCAGATTTATTAGAAAACATTTGTTTTTTAAAAGATGGCCGGCATTGGTGAAGTCGGTTGCAAACAAAAGGAAAAAAAAAGCCGGAATGTCTCTCACAAAGGTGGTACGGAGAGCTTTTTCTTGATGAAAGGGAAATTTTAATTCGAGTTGGTTTTAGCATACGACTCTGGCTTCAGCACTTGATGGGTTGATTTATTTCGGAGTACTTGATGGAGCCATCGTGAACGTTCATTAGCTGTCGTCGATGACCCTTTTTTGTACGGTTCCCTGATGCTTTGCACTTAAGATTGAATCCGTCCTTCACACTATCTAATCAGTGCGATGGCACATTCCGTGGCAATGATGGTTCAATCATGGTCACAACTGCTCCTGAGGATGCACTACAGATTCCCTTAAGATGTTGGTGAAAGGGAGGATGGCTTGCGCGTGATTGCTAAAATAAATGCTAACAAAGAAAAAGAAAGGTGCCGAAAAGATGCCGGGTAGATATGAATTGATATGTAAATCTATTCATGAGCTTTTGATATGAAGAGTGACTGTGGTCATTTTGCTCATCATAATAATGATTATTTTGATTGCTATTGAAATCACGATGATTAAAAATGTTTATTCCTTTTTTTTCAACACTTGGCATTTATTCAACTGCCAAAATTGTACCACTCAAAGCTGTTGATGAAGCCGATGCAGAACATTTTTGGACAATTTGGCTGATCAGCATGAACTCATCTGCAACTGCATTTCTCACCAAGTTTGTCAAAATAGGAGATTGTCTCCTTCAAGTTTGTCGGTCAAGGTAGGAGGTGTATATGAAATGGAACCTGTTGTCACAGACAAGGATTTTTTTTAGGTTATTATTTCACTGACATGTTTCGGCGGAAGTCTTTCGCCTTCTTCAGACTCTGGATAACCTAAAAAAATTGTTTCAGATAAAAGAACCAACAAGTTCAATTATCAGCAAGATACAGCATGAACTTTATTCCATTTTTGAGGCGTAAACGTATTTGTAATTTCCTGGGGAAAATAAAAACAGGTCTCCTTGATCTATTTTGCATCATTGTTTTGCACTTCAGCGTCTTGCTTTTTAGATGAGCAAAATACACCTGCGTCATTTGACAATTTTCAACACATCTCACCATATTGGACACTAAAAGCACGTCAATCAAATGACTAACTGCAGATCACTAATTGTCTAATTGATGCCCAAAGTAGCCAAAGCCTTCCCGTCGTTCTGGGCCAGAATCTGCCACCTCCATCAAGCGTTTGCTCGTCGGCGATGTGCACATTCACGTGCACGCCTCTCGCTTGAGGCTTCGTGCTGTCAGATCGACTTTACCCAGCAGACAGCGCAAGGTCATCAGATGACGACCAGCAGCCGGGGCTGCCCCCGGTCGCCCGGCTGTCCATATTCATCCTCAGTGAGGCGGCACAACACACTCACCGTCGGCAACCATTTTGGGATCGCAACTGACGGATGGGTTCCGATGCACACCAAACTTTGGGTCTTGAACTCGGAAGCTTTGCCTTCGTCTCTTGAGCCTTACCAAACGTAACCACAGACGCGTATCATGACTCGATTTACTTTCTGTCAGCATTTCGTATCATAATTGTTAAAATGCTGCAACAGAAAAAAAAACGCAAGAGAGGATGAAACAGTCGTTCATGGAAGTCAAGCACATGGTCAAATCACTCCAAATGTTTTTGTTTATATTTGAGACGTTGCTCAAAAAAACTTCCCTCCAGACCACCAAGCTGTGACCCGCCGCCACTCTCCGTCAACAAACAGCGGCGTGCTTGAATGCTTAATAGAGAAGAGTCGAGGGCAGAACGTCAGCGGGCTCTTGATGGCAATCATCGGGTTGCTCGAGCGGAAATTGGGGCTGCTTTTTAATGCGCCTCTGTATCAAAGAGAAAAAAACTCGCCAGCAAAGCGACAAGTACCGTTCGCTCACACAGAGCACAAATATACTCTCACTCATTTCGGTTCTCGCACAAGACCGCCGGCCGCTTTTCGCCAGTTAATTTCATCTACATATACAGAATCCTCAAAGGGGTGTTTTGTGATGGCCCCCAGGGTGTCACGTTCGGCCACAACAATGGCGGACTGATGTTTGGAGCGCTATTAATAGAATCACCGCCTTTATTGTGGACAAAGATAACATGCGCCTTGCCGAAGGCGCATGTCACAAAAAAAGTCCTCCCTCAAGTGATTTTTTTTTTTTGTTTGTTTTTTTATTTGTTTTTTTTTGCAGCCATCAACCTCAGATAACAACAAAAGCAAAAAGTGCGCTTTTGGGGCGCACGTTCCATTCATGGGATGAACAGCCATCGAAAACTACACCTCGCAGCACGAAATAAGTTGCAAAATCACAATACAAGCACAGAACGACGTTCGATAAGGAACAAATGAAGCGAACGAAGCCAGTAGCAAATGCAAACAGGCTCTGAAGGTACTCGTAGTTTTACTTGCTGGCTTTTCTTTTCTGCGCATGCTTGCGCGCTTTTCTTTTCTGCGCGCGGCAGTGAAACTGGCCGGAGAGAGACGAGCCGTTCAAGCTCGGGTCATTCCTCGCTCTGGTTTGTCCTTTTACAAACTCGCAGAAGAAGGAGAACGGTGGGAACGGAACACCGTGATCCTCTTTATATTTGGATCCTGCCGTAATCCATTTTTCTTGAAGATAGAAGGGCAACTTCTCCACAAGTTGTCCCAACCCCCTGGGTGTGTCAAGGTATGTCAAACCGGGCAAGTGTCCATCTTGCTTCGCAGCTTCCAGTTCGCCGATGAGGTCCGAGAGCTCCAGGAGCCTGCCGGGGTCTTTGCGGGAGAGCTTTGGGAATTTCTCTATTCTGGAAAAGAAGGAATTTTCAATGGCCTCGGGCAAGCCGTAGACTTCTTTGAGTCGCGTCCAGATCATCCCCAGACCAACAGAAGGGCACCTTAAGTGGACCGCTTTGACCCTCGTTGCGTGTTGAGAAGATTCCGGGCCCAGCCACTTGAGGAGGAGGTTTATTTCTTCAATCGGCGTGAGACCGATGTCGGCGACGGTGGTCTGGAACGTCAGCTTCCAGTTCAGATAGCCCTCCGGTTTGTCATCGAATTGAGTCAGCCCCCCAGATAGCAGCTGAATCTTTGCTAGGAACTTGGCGAGGTCACCGATTGCACGATCGGCGGCGCAAGGGTTTGAATTGAACCTCTGCTGCGCTTGAGGTCCACCATGGAAAGCGTCCGGCTGGGTTACAGTATTTTGCAGTTCCGGCTCTCGGTCCTGCGGCAAAAGGTGATCCTGACCGGCTTCCTGTTTGATATGAAGGGGTGTGAAGACTGATAACGGAGGGCCGGCGTGTTTCTCCTGGTTTGGTGTGACATTGTAAAGCTGGGCAAAGGAGTTGCTTTCGATATGAGTGGGTTCTGCTTCTCCGTGTTTATTTATATATTCTCTCACTTTCTGCTCTGGGGTGGTCTGAACAGGGAGGAATTCCAATACTTGTTCGCCTCGTTCTTCCATACTAAAGTGGGCCGCAGCCGACTCCATCGCATCTGCTTTGGCTGTAGCCGCATCGGCTTCTCTTCTCTGATGGAGAAGATCTAGGCTGACTTCCAAGCGTGCTTTTTCCATTTCGATATTGATTTCTTCCTCAGCATAGGCTAATCTGGCTCTTGCGCCTTGAGCTTCAGCCCGAGCGAGCACCGCCTCCACCCTGGCTCGGGATGAGGCGGATGACCTACTCAAAGATCCTTTTGAAGAGCTCAGAGTGAGCCGTGTTGCAGATCTTGAGGATTTACTGTGGTAGGAGAAGAGCGACCCCGTCTCCCCGTTGCTTTCACCGCTAGCATCCGGTTTCTCCATTTTGATTAGCGAGGGAGGCTGCCGAAATTGAACGCGTGCACAATTGGCTCTCCTTTCAAGCTGGCGCACGCAATCCCGAGATTGAAGTTCCGCTGCCCCTCGCAGAGTGCTCGGATTTCGCTTTCTCTTAGGCACCGAATGCAAATTCCTGTTCTCCCTGCGGAGTCGCAGCCAGCTCAACTACCACTTGCGTTTTCCAAGGATCGGGCAATTGTTGTTTGTGGCAGGGTTGATCATAAGATGTGAAACTGCAACACAAGAACAGAGTGGTGTCTGGTAAGCACCAAACCAAGTTAGCTAATCCAATAGCATACACGTGCAAACAATCAGTGTCGACCAGGATTCATCTGTGCATAATCGTTAAGTGTCTCGTATGAAACAACAAAAGAGTGCGAGTCAGTGTATCAGCTGCAAAATTATCCACTTGCTCATGTTGCCATTCATAACGAGAAATAACCGGTTGACATGAATGGAGAAAACTAACACCGAGGCATCTGAGCTAACGTCATAATGGAATGTGACCAAGGCAACAATGAACATGAATCCAATTAGACAGCAAAGAATGTTTACCTTTGGTCCTTTTTTTTCCTTCGTGCTCAAGCTTCTCTTTCCAAAGTCCCCTGGTGGAAAATGAGCCCTGGAGCTCAATTCTATGTGACATCGCCTTGAAAGAAGTGTGCTCATAAAGCTTTGTGACATGGAGATGATGGCGGAGAGTTAACGTGTCATTTACACTTGCTCTGTAAAAAAAAATAAATAAATAAATAAACGGACTGAACCGGTGTGCTGACTTTGAACCCGACATGCAGTGTGTGCGTGTGTCATAACCTCCACTGAACCCTCTTGTGTTCGATCAAACCCGAGCCACTGTTCTAAATGGTGGTTTTTGTTGGTGTCTTTTGTCATCGAAAAAAAAAAAACTGGGGGAGATTACACTAAAGAGTCAGTCGCCATGTAGTGACTTTCGAGCAATACCCTCCAAAAAGCAGAATGCTGACACACGCGCGTAACACTAAAGAAAAGCATTGCGCAGGTCGGCACTATGGGTAAGAATTAGATAAGGTCAGATGATATCGACAATCGTCATTCGACAAAGGCTTTCATTTCTACAAGCTCGATCTCCATGAACATGCTCACACTTTGCACTAAACATGAGATACAATGTCTTCAGACGAAAGTGAAGTTAGTTAATTCGCGCCCGGCCTGATCGAGTGCACATTTCCCCAGATGCACAGAATGTACGGGTACCTAAGTGTTTCTTTGGAAAATAAGACAAAAATACTTGTAAACAAGAAATGGGGGGAGCGTGGGTGAAGTGCCCAATGTCAAATAGGTAACATTAAAGTGCATCCTAGACTCACACTTTGAATCGCCACCTCATTCAAACCTCACAGCGTTTTGCAACGACACTCACGTCTCCTCGTCCACGCGGAGGAAAATGGACTCATTTGAAAGAGGAGCGTTATCAGGCGACGTCTTGCCCACGCGGCCGCTGATGGCTGCAATCAACAGGAGGACGAAGAGGGGGGACTTGAGAAAGCGGCTCGTCAGCACTGATATGGTCTTCTGTATCACCTTTGATTGAGTTCAAATCCTTAAAGGATGTGCCGTGATGATTGCCATCGCGTGTAGTGCCTGTGCGAGTGGTGATGTCTGAAGAAAGCTGTCATTTTCTATGCATGTCCGAAAGAGTGTGCAAATGAAAGGAAAAAACGGAAGGTCTTGACAGTCTGCCACGAAAACATCCGTCCATGTTCTCATCCGCTTCTCCTCGCGAGGGTCGCGGGCGTGCCGGAGCCTATCCCGGCCGTCTTCGGGCAGTAGCACACCCTGAACTGCTTACCAGCCAATGGCAGGGCAAACACAGACAAACAACCATTCGCACTGTGTGGAGTCTCTATGATCTCCCCCCGGGTCTGCGCGGGTTTTCTCCGGGTACTCCGGAGCACCAAATTCACTCAAGGAATGAGAGGGGTACTGATTGGGTTTGGGTGGAGGCACACGCTGGAAAAGGACAAGAATGATGATTAGTAGAAGTAAATTTTAAGACAATATATGTGTAAAGGTTCTGTTTGTGGCCAGCAGGTGGCACTGTAGGGCTCCGCCTGCAGCTGCACAGATGTTGGTCGTTGTGTCATTAGTTGTCTGTCTTAAAAGGACTCCCGGCACGGCCACTCGGTGTCGGGTCGTTGTTTGTTGCTGTCATGTTTGTTTTCTGTCATTGTTTCTGTTGCTGTTAGTTTTTTTTGCTGCAACCATGGTTTTTGTTTGTTACTTTGGATTCTTTTTGTTTTCTTGTATTTAGTTGCCTCAGTATTTTGGTAATGGTTTGTTACTTTGGATTCTTTTTGTTTTCTTGTATTGAGTTGCCTCAGTATTTTGGTCATACAATTTGTCTAGTTCACCCTGCTCCTCCCTGCCTTCCTGCTTTTTGGGGTCCTCCAACGACACTACCATCATGCAAATCGTGACAATGTCCGTGAATGAGAGAGGAGAAAAAAAAATGGATGGACATCAATCTTCCCATTCCTCCTATCGATAGGAAGCTGTCGATCTTGCTTCAGAGATGTCCGACTGAGTGATAGGATGTCGTTAAAGGTCGCACACACATTTATTGAGTGGCGTCGGATGTCCGACTGAGTGATAGGATGTCGTTAAAGGTCACACATTTATTGAGTGGCGTCAATTGCGACGCTGGAACGATGAACGCGAAGAGATGAAATGGCTCTTCTTGTGACCGCATTTCTCAAGTTTGTGACTCATAAGTGACGCTTATAACGGGAAGTACCACATGTGGCTCAAGGTCATTTTTAGACAAGAGGAAGTGGTGTTGCTCAAAAAATATGAGGTGTGCGGGATGTCTGCGTCATAACGAGGATGACGATAGTTCAGGTGAATACCCAAATGAACGCCATATGCAAATTATGACAGCAGTGTAAACATAGCCTAATGCAAATTATGACAGCAGTGTAAACATAGCCTAGTTTCGGTCTCTGTCTCGGTTGGCATGGCCTTGACTAAAACGTTCGCTTTTAGAATACAAATCAATCTTTTATCAAGCTCATACTCGCATGTGCACTTTGGGCTATGAAAACAAAGCCGTCATGCATTCCTAACAATCGAGATCGAAATCCATCAAGGTTGCTCACGGCGACTTTGTTCATCCGCGTCTCATGAAGCCTCTTGAATGACACGTCCCCTTTATGATTCGCGCTGAGGTAACAGGAAGACGACCGTTTCAGTCGTGTCTCCATCTATTGGAGTAACACAGTTGTGTCACACAGACAGACACGCACACACACACTTATCAAACTCTTACCCCCCTGTAAAATTCCACAGGCTGCCACTCCGTCTGCCTGAATGATGAATAAATTCTTCATTTCATCAAACGCAATTTGTCATACGTTACCTCAGTCAAATCGTCGCCATGACGAACTTCACAGTTATCGGATCAGCCGAGCCAAAAGCAGTAAAATCTGACCGTCATCCAGTGCCAAACGCCCACAGACATTTTTTTTTTCTTTCTGAATTCTTTCCTTATGGAATATCTGCACGACAGCAAACAAAGAAGGCATACATTAGTTGCTGGTCGCTTTTCCCATATTAACTCCATCCGAGCGTGTCGAACAAAGTCACATGCCTGTAATTAAGGAATACGTACAGAACAAAAGAGTGCATAAAGGCCTCCATTTTGTGCTGGGACATGCACAAGAACCGAGGTTAGGGTTCGGAATAATTTCGGAGACGTAATAGCTTTAGTCCAACCACTGATTGATTTTTTTTGTTCTAGCTTTATGAATACATTTGAATCAGCCTCATTTATAAATCATACAGGAAGTAAAATGATTCAAAGAATCCAACAACGTCTGAGAAATATAGTTGAACCCCGTTACAATGTACTTGGACGGACATGACGAATCTCTACGGGATTTCGTTGAAACCACTTTCAATAAAATGGCCGCCAACTACGATGCGTAATACAGTATGAACCTTTCTAGGTGTAAAAACATGAACATGTAATACAGTATAATGGAGGAGTATCCTGCGCTGTCCAGTTGCTTCAGCAGCACGGGCGTCATTAAAACGACCAGATTCTCGTCGTTTTAATGACGGTGACGTTGATGTTGTAAAAATGTGTATATCTTTATCTATATCGATATCTATATAGCTAGATATATAGATATAGACTTGAAAGGCGCTTATAAATAAAATGTATTATTTTTATTATATATAGATGTATAAGTGTATAAGATATGTCAAGTGTAAGTGAAAAACCGAATCCACATTTTGTGTAATCTGGGCCTTCTTGCTCCCCCCACTGCCCCACAGTTGCAGGTAACCTCGACTCTTACTCATTGTCGATTGCGACGCTGGAACGATGAACGCGAAGAGATGAAATGGCTCTTCTTGTGACCGCATTTCTCAAGTTTGTGACTCATAAGTGACGCTTATAACGGGAAGTACCACATGTGGCTCAAGGTCATTTTTAGACAAGAGGAAGTGGTGTTGCTCAAAAAATATGAGGTGTGCGGGATGTCTGCGTCATAACGAGGATGACGATAGTTCAGGTGAATACCCAAATGAACGCCATATGCAAATTATGACAGCAGTGTAAACATAGCCTAATGCAAATTATGACAGCAGTGTAAACATAGCCTAATGCAAATTATGACAGCAGTGTAAACATAGCCTAGTTTCGGTCTCTGTCTCGGTTGGCATGGCCTTGACTAAAACGTTCGCTTTTAGAATACAAATCAATCTTTTATCAAGCTCATACTCGCATGTGCACTTTGGGCTATGAAAACAAAGCCGTCATGCATTCCTAACAATCGAGATCGAAATCCATCAAGGTTGCTCACGGCGACTTTGTTCATCCGCGTCTCATGAAGCCTCTTGAATGACACGTCCCCTTTATGATTCGCGCTGAGGTAACAGGAAGACGACCGTTTCAGTCGTGTCTCCATCTATTGGAGTAACACAGTTGTGTCACACAGACAGACACGCACACACACACTTATCAAACTCTTACCCCCCTGTAAAATTCCACAGGCTGCCACTCCGTCTGCCTGAATGATGAATAAATTCTTCATTTCATCAAACGCAATTTGTCATACGTTACCTCAGTCAAATCGTCGCCATGACGAACTTCACAGTTATCGGATCAGCCGAGCCAAAAGCAGTAAAATCTGACCGTCATCCAGTGCCAAACGCCCACAGACATTTTTTTTTTCTTTCTGAATTCTTTCCTTATGGAATATCTGCACGACAGCAAACAAAGAAGGCATACATTAGTTGCTGGTCGCTTTTCCCATATTAACTCCATCCGAGCGTGTCGAACAAAGTCACATGCCTGTAATTAAGGAATACGTACAGAACAAAAGAGTGCATAAAGGCCTCCATTTTGTGCTGGGACATGCACAAGAACCGAGGTTAGGGTTCGGAATAATTTCGGAGACGTAATAGCTTTAGTCCAACCACTGATTGATTTTTTTTGTTCTAGCTTTATGAATACATTTGAATCAGCCTCATTTATAAATCATACAGGAAGTAAAATGATTCAAAGAATCCAACAACGTCTGAGAAATATAGTTGAACCCCGTTACAATGTACTTGGACGGACATGACGAATCTCTACGGGATTTCGTTGAAACCACTTTCAATAAAATGGCCGCCAACTACGATGCGTAATACAGTATGACCCTTTCTAGGTGTAAAAACATGAACATGTAATACAGTATAATGGAGGAGTATCCTGCGCTGTCCAGTTGCTTCAGCAGCACGGGCGTCATTAAAACGACCAGATTCTCGTACCAGATTCTCGTCGTTTTAATCACGGTGACGTTGATGTTGTAAAAATGTGTATATCTTTATCTATATCGATATCTATATAGCTAGATATATAGATATAGACTTGAAAGGCGCTTATAAATAAAATGTATTATTTTTATTATATATAGATGTATAAGTGTATAAGATATGTCAAGTGTAAGTGAAAAACCGAATCCACATTTTGTGTAATCTGGGCCTTCTTGCTCCCCCCACTGCCCCACAGTTGCAGGTAACCTCGACTCTTACTCATTCCTCTCCACAAAGCCACAATAGCCCTGCCCAGCTTCTCCGCACGGCCTACTTAAGCATCAGATCATCCCAAATGACACTCCCACATCTTTTTGGACTCAACGCAAATACTTTAGACCGAATTTAAGGGAACTGAAAGATCCGAGTGACTGTTGTGGTATCGTCGGGGGGTAAAAGGTAAATCTATGTTGATGAATTCATATTTGTACCCAATATTTCTTAAAAATCCCTGGAGCGGCATGTTTTGTAATATAAGTACAGCGTTGATGTATTATAAATATGATATTGTTTTTCTTTGCAGGAAGCATGTTTTGTAATATAAGTACAGCGTTGATGTATTTTATATATATGATATTGTTTTTCTTTGCAGGAGCCAATTCATGATGAATCTTCCAACTTTTTCACTGATGGTTGTACTTCTTGCGACAGCTTCGACTAAACCAGTGAGCCTTGACTTACTTTTCACTCCCCTTTGAACACACGTATCAGTCTCTTTAAAATTCTGGTACATCCTGTACATGAGTGTAATTTTCTCTTATTTTTTTAAATGGTGTGAGTAAACTGCACTGTGCTATTCAATCTGGTCTCTAAATGTGTTAAGGCAAACACCCGCAAAATGTGTCTAACTTGTATTCAATCATTTATGAGAGAAAAGTCAGTCACAGTTGTAGGCGAGTTGCGATAGGAGGTAAGCAGAAGTGGGGACGGATTTCACATTTGACTTCACTTCACAGGAGAGGCGATTCGTCAATAACTCTGCTTCATTAAACCGACAAATTTTATTCTGGATCAGCACTGCTAAATGATCGGCTATGGTGTATTATATTCTCCCCTTTGATATTCCATCTACAGGTTGATGACAACTGGCTGCAGGATGCTGCCATCACCGAAAATAACCAGAAACAAGAATCACTTGCTCGGGACAACTGGAGTCTTTCTTCTGAGTCCGCTCGCTCACATGACTCGGGGAAGTCCAGAGACGTCTCTGAAAGTGAATCCGCTGAGGAGTCCATTGAACTGCCGTCCGCGGAGCCACTGGCAGAATTTTTCGAGGAGTCATCCGAAGAATCCTCTGAGGAGGCACCTGAAAAGTTTTCCGAGGGGTCCGCCAAGCATTTCTCTGAGGAATCTTCTGAGGAGTCGTCAGAGGAATCCTCTGAGGAGTCTTCCGAAGAGTCCTCAGAGGAATCCTCTGAGGAGTCTTCCGAAGAGTCTTCTGAAGAGTCTTCTGAGGAGTCCTCCGAGGAGTCCTCCGAGGAAGTTCCCGTCACAGATCCCATGATGACAACCACAGAAGACACAAATACATCCACTCCCAAACCTGCCACCACAATCTCAAATGAGCAAGACACAACCACACCTGCTGGAGATGTGACTGTAAGCAGTGGCCTTTCCACAGAGTCTCACATCACCGAAAGACGCGGAGACAACTAACACAGTGACCGCGAACCTAAAATATATTTCAAAAGGTGATGATTGTGGGCTAAAAGTTGATTAGACTCATTGTTATCCGGATCCATTTTTTAAAATTTGTTTCTGATCAAACATGTTGTAGCTGCAATGAAATCAGGAAACGAATGCTCATATTGCTTAATATTGTATATATTTGAAGACATTTATTAATAACTGTTCTAATGGATGAAATGTACTGTTTTCAAACGTACCATCGGGTGTACATACCATACCTCTAAAATCCCACAAATAAATGTTATGTTTCACAAGAGTGAAAAAAAAGCTGTCAAAATGTATGCTTTCTCACACAAAATGCCACTTACACATTGCATGGGGTGAAAAAAAAAAAAAGAAAAAATACATTCACTGGTCAAAGGTGTCCCTAATGCTGTGTCTGCTCAGTGTATGACATGATGGAAGGATTCAAAGTTTCTACCGCCACCTAGTGGTGAAACGCGTGAATTAAGGGCATGTGGGAATGATGTCCTTATATTGCCTGTGGGCAAATGTAATACAAAAAATATATCTTTTCTATACTGGAAACGAATTTCTGAAAATATGTCCTGTGAGCAAGCACTTGATGCCCCACCGTTGGAACAGCCACATCGATGCTTGTCAAGGTCTTTTTTTGGGGGTGGGGGGGGGGGGTAGGGCCGCGGTCACTTTTC